AAAAAAAGAAAAAACAGAAGTGGGCATAAAGATGAAGGAATGCAAATCTCTAGGATCATATTAGGAGCAGATACTAAATAATCGCAAGTATATAAGCGCCGCTATGATTAGCTGGGAATAGCGCCATGGGAAATCGACGAAGCAAAAAAAATAGAGATATGACGACGAATGAATAACCGTAGTCCCAGAATATCATAGTGAGCAGATAATATCATCAACGCTCAGGTTAGCAAGGAACTGGTAGCCGAAAATACAACTGACGAGATTCCAGAGTAGTGATCATGTCTCATGAGCAAAAACGAATAAACATGCAATTAAAAACACCAATTCAGGCGAAAAGTTTGCCCATCTTCTAGTTAACTAATATTATTGAGATCATACTCTCACAATTAGGTTCAAAACTACAATCACCAGATGCAAATGTCTATATCCTCAATTCATACCGATTCCTTGGCTGGTGCAGGCGCAGATTCAAAGGCCGGAATCTTCACGTACCCCGTTTTCTTAGGGCTATCGATTTCTTCGTCATCATCGACATAATTATCGTAAGAATCGCGATAATAATAGCGGTCAGATAACACAGACCATATTAAGTACAAACCTATCGCAGTGAGAGCCCCACCTGCGACGCCGAAGAGTAGCGCCAGAACAACGCTCACAATGTCCTTAGTGCGATCACGGAACGAGCTGGAATTATGGGACGAAAATCCGAAGGGGGCTCTCATATGTGACCGCCATGGCTCAATTTCAGTCTCATTTTCGTCCTCCTCGAAGCGGCGGCCCGAGAGGGCGCCATCGAAGAAGATCTCAGCCGCAAGAGAGGGATTATCATAGTTATTGTCGTTATTTCCGACGACGTCCAGGGGGACGAAGGATCTGATCTCTTTGAAGGTGGTGAGGGTTGCGGCGGAGGAATGGAGCCTAAATGAGACAGAGTAGGAGGAGACAAAGGTGGTTCTGCAAGGTCTAGCCGTGGCGGAGATGGATAGGGCGAGAAAAACGAGGAGGAGGAGGATGGGGATGAGACGCGAAGCTGTCGCTGAGAAAGCCATGACCGACGAAGGACAAAAAGATACGAAGGGATAATGGAGAAGAAAGCAGAGTCTGTGAGGTCAATGGCGAAGTCAATGCCAGCAATTTAACGTCTTTCCTTCTCCGTCCAATCCATGAATCCAGCGTGGCAAGTTACCAGGCGATTGGATTTGACACGACATCCGCTGGCGAGCGTTGCCCACACATCAGCATTATCCATCTGGTCTCGTTTAATGTTTCTTGTCCCTTTTTTTTTTTGGTTACAAAAAACAAACAAGTACTACATACTTTTTTAATCCAACAAAAGCATGTATTTTTCCCTGGATCTTATGAGTGTTGGCTCCTTAAAATCTTTTAATATAAATATTCAAAGGAGATTTAAAAATGGAACTCTAATTTAATGTATATTTTCTCTGTCATGTTTTCACCAAAAAAAAAAACCATGTCATGTGTACATAGCATATAATATAGATTTAACATTGTGACAGAAAGAATAATATACTAAACCATGAGATTATAGGCAAGGATCTTCTCTATTTTACCTGTCTTTCTTCGTTTCCCTCGTCAACTCAGTGGCAAAATGCTTAGTCATGGTGTCATTTATTCAAAAGATTTTGAAGGAATGGGAAGTGGAGAATGAGTTAGTTTGAAATATATATATATATATATATGTATATAGTTTTTAATTTTATACAAAATTTCAATTTGGTTTCTAATTTTAAAAAATATATTTTAGTAATTTAATCTTAAAAATGTTAGTTTTAATAGCAATTTTTTAATAATAATTATTGTTATTTTAAAAATTAAACTTAATATATTAGTATTAAGAATATTTTATCAAGATTCAAGATTTTAAGATCATCATTTTTTGTGGGTAATTTTAGGTTTAAAGGACTAAAATCATACTTTTAAAATTAAGGACCAAAGTAAAATTTTATATAAAATTAAAAAAATAAAAATACACTTAAAAAAAGGATCAATATGTAGAAGCTATATTTGGTGCAATCTAAAATTTAGATGTGCTCCTTCTAGTTCTAACATAAAAACCAATAGATATGTTTATTTAATAAATTAATATTTTAAATATGTTTCATTGCTATTAAACAGGGACGGTTAAAATTTAACAATCTGAGTTATATATATTTATTTTAATAATTAAAAATTTATTAATACATTTATAAAATATTAAGTAACCCAATCAAATTTTAATTCAATAGTTGAAATGAGAAGTTGGAGAGAGAAAATAGAATTTCTTCATATGTAATTTTATGGTACTCCAGTGTTTAATTTAATTAATGAAATACAATTAGGGTAGTTTGAAAAATAGATAAATATGAAAGATAAAATATATTAGTTTTGTATTTAAGATAAAACTAAAAATCAAAATAGCTTTTATAATTAAGATAGGAGGTAGTATTAAATATAATATCTCAATTTATTTTATTTTATTTTTTTTCTAAAGTTTATACATATTGTTTAGAAAATGAGATCTTCGCCGTCCATCGTGTTTTAATCTAGCCCTCCTCTCATTTGGTTAAAATTTTGAAGGGAAAGGAAGCCAAAATATCCCCTTCCCTTCCCTCCTGGCTCCCTCCCCCCATTTAGCTCCCCTCCAAATTGGAGGTTTTGGAAGGGAGTTAAATTTTTGGACCATTATACTCTTATAGTTTTTTTAATATTCCACTATTATCCATAAATATATTATTATAATATTTATTTCAAATAAAAAATTATTATCTTAAGTAAAAAATAAAAAATACTATAATTAAAAAATACATTATAAAAATTATAATATTATAAAATTAATTGTTTTTTATAAATATATTATTTATTAAATATATTTTAAAAGCTGAAAAAAAAAACCTAAAGAGAATAAAATTTATTTTTTTTAGAGCATATAATTTTTTTAATTTATTATTTTAAATATATTATTATAATTATTAGAAAAAAAATTACTGTACCAATCTTTAATACACATATTAAATGATAAGGTTGAATTTCATTTAATTAAATATATAATAAATTAAGATGTAAATTGATTATAAATATATCAATAAAAATTAAACAAACATATAAAGATAAAATAGTAAATGATTATTATTATATTTTTTTTCTTCTTAAACCAAGTATCCTTCTCTCCTTTTTAATCAAACCAAACAAAATGAAAATAGCCCCACAAAAACCATACAGGCGCTTAGCGCATTGATGAGATATCACTCTTCAGCGTCCCTTCCCGACTCAGTGCGCCGCCTGCCCTCTTTTGCCCCGTCGGCTGTCATCGGCGCTCTCTATGTTCGTTGGCCATCTTCGTTGCAGGTCTGGGGATCAGTCGGCGCCGTCTTGCTCCTTCGGGTCTCATCGTTGCCGTCTAGCTCGTCGGCTCTTTGCGCTGTTCTCTTGCTCTGTCGGACATTGTCATCACAGATTTGGAGGTAAGTACATAATCCTGGCCATTGTCTCTTCGTTTCTCTCAACTAAGCTGATGCTTTTTTTTAAAATAATCTTTAAGGGGATTCTGAGAAACAAATAAGGAATGGAAGAACATTGTTTCAAACAAAAAAATGGAGGAAATTTGGAGGAGGAGAGTGGGTGGAATGTCTGAATTTTTCATTGTTTCAAACAAAAAAAATGGAGGAAATATGAGCTGATATCAGCCATGCACATTTCAAAGATTGATAACCCCACCGGATGTAATATAGGTCCGCCTGTGCTTGTGCCATTCCTCATATTTGTACTGGTTCTCGTAGCTTCAATGGATATCAACAGTAGCCTAAAATTTTCCATTTCCTAGCATATAATCACCTTTTTCTTTTTTTAATATATTTTTGTTAGTTTGAATTATCTTTAGTTGCCATAATATGTGTAAAGAGTTGGATTTTCAGAGAGCAAATCATGTGATTCATGTAATTGACCTCTGCGGATGAGTTTCGTGGTTGATTTTTCTATTGCCATTAGACTCCCTCCTTCTGATGATTCGTTCTTGATCAAGTTCCTTCAACAGAAGTTCCATCTTGAGATATGATGCTTGGAAAGCCAAAGAGACTGAGACCGATGTATAAAGATCACTTGTCACCGATTGCTTGAACCAAATGAACCAAATATACGGAGCAATTCTCTTTTTTTGGCGGGGGTTATGAAGTGCAACTAGATCTTGCTTGTGCTATATGTAATCATGGGGAGTCACCTGAGATAACATAAACCAATTTGCATGGATCTTAGAAGTCGTGACAACTCTTCTCCGCCTCGTCCCAGATGGAGAAAAGTGGCATATGGTGGTATGCAACCTGGTTATGGTGACAACTATACTGATGAATCATTTCTTGAAGGCATGGTCACGAATGCCAGTGTTGTAAAGAGGGACATGGTAAAGGTGATGCTAGACTCAGTTTCCATTTCTGAATATCTATGCGTTGTTGCTCTCGTTGTATTGGTCTGGACTTACACACTAACATCAACTCTGGATGAAAATTCCCTGCTCTTTCTTGATGCAAGTCTCCTTGTTTCAGGATTTCTCATCCTCATATTTACTCAAGAAATGCTTTCCTTCAATCTTCTCATCCATTACTGTCTCAATATTTCCTTCTTTATAACTGGATTATATGTTTTGGCTCCTATATACCAGACTCTAACAAGATCCATTAGTTCAGATTCTATCTGGGCAGTAACTGTGTCACTACTACTGCTTCACTTATTTCTGCATGATTATTCAGGATCCACAGTAAAAACCCCTGTTGCTACAAAGAATCCGGCGTTATCCAGTTGTATCTCTGTAAATGCTTCTGTAGTAGCCTCGGTTTTTATCGCATCCCGTCTTCCATCAAGACTACACGTGTTTGCCATCATGCTCTTCTCATTGCTAGTCTTCCTTTTTGCTCCCCTGGTTACTTACTGTATTAAAAGTATTCCTTCCGCTTGCACTTGTGTGTTTCCATATGTTGATTGCTCTGACCTTGAGTTTTGTGTACATGCTGGATCGGTTGCTTTTTGTGTTGCTGCTTAGTGTGTTAGTGTTTGTCAACGTGGTCTGCCCTTACTGGCTTATAAGGCTTCAGGAATACAAGTTTGAGATCAATGGGCCTTGGGATGAGGCGAAGCTTTGTTTTGATATTACTGACTAAGATCATAGCGTACATGGGGAATACGGTGAGAAGTTGAGGCAACTGGCTCTTGAATTTTGAGTGATGGTCAGGTTTTGGTGTAATTCCCCGGTGCATTCCATCGGCTTTGGGGCCGAGTATTTCTGCTTGTTCTTGTCCAAATTAGGAGCAAGTGATGGTGCAATGCTGTACAATGACGTCAAATCTTTTGACATATTCATCTTGTGAAATGAAATGCGAGAGTGCCCTTGATTATTGACATGACAATTGAAGTATTGGTGAGCTAAACCTTGAATCTGCCTGGCATTCTCTAGCAACTGGCATGATTGTAATGTAACAATTTTCTTTTTCAAATCAAGTCAAAATGAACCAATGGAAAGAGTGCTGACGATAAATTTATTTATTCATATTTAATTTATATGAATTTTATTCTATGGCTCATTTTATTATGATATTTAGCTGAAATTTAAAATGAACTACGAAAGATGTACTATTAATTTGAAGGATAAATTCTAAGGCAGGCTATAATACGTAAGAGTAAGTTTGAACCAGTCTATGGTGAAAGTTCTTAGAAATTATAATTATTTTAAATGTTCAAAATGTAAAAAATTTTAATCTTGATTGTGAAAAGTTATTCCTCGGATGGTCGCCAAGAAGAGCGGAAAAAATGGATCAATAATAAAGAGTTTGATTTATAAGACCGAAGGCAGGGAAACAAAAGGAAATATATTACATTTTCGTATTTACAATTTTTAATTGCTTGCACCTCTGGAATAATTTTAAAATTTAAAGTCGCTAACAATAAAATTTCTAAATTATAACCAGAAGCATAATTTTTTAAAAAAAAAAAACAGATTAAACAGATTTGGTTAATTTTAAATAATTTGATATAATATGGTCACGAAGAGCAACAGTTGATCGATATTAAACTTCCTTCAGGCAAATGAAGGGAATTAATCTAAGCTGGGAGATTCTCTCTATTGCTTGCATGGCGCTTGTTGCCGGGCAAATCCGTGGAGACGAAGGAAGAGGCTACGTTGCGTGTTCCTGTCCCGTCTTTTCACCTCTCACGGGTTCCAAGATTCCCCTGCAAGTAATTGGGCTTCCTAATTAGCTTCCTCTTTGGTTTTTGAACCATTTCTATTCTTCCAGGGGAAAATCGAAGACCATTCATACTAACCAGAAATGGGAGTGCTCTCGAACAAGATCCACTGGCAAGAACTGAAGCCCGGCGATCACATTTACTCCTGGAGGCAGGCTTACATCTACGCACATCACGGTCATCCCCTTCCCCACTTTCCTTCAATTCTTTTCCTTCTCTCTCTCTCTCTATATATATGCCATTTCTGTAATCATTGGCAACATTTAAGTTCTCAGCATATGAAGATAGGCTAAAGAGAATTGAAGAACGGGAAAATAAATCGTTAAAAGAATTCTAACCTGATTATTGATTATCCTGTGAGATTTATGCTTTTGTAAAATTTTACTCTGTTCATCGTATGCGGTACTGAAATTGCCATACAATGCTTTCCTTTCCTCTAAGACACCAGGAATCTACATCGGCGACGGAATGGTGATCCACTTCACCAGAGGAGCCGGCCAAGAAATCGGCACCGGAACTGTTCTCGATCGTCTCGTCCTCATGTCAATGCCCCCTAATTCCAATGCACGCACTGCATGCCCGAGATGCGGCGGCCAGAGCAGATCTCATGGCGTCATCTCATCCTGCCTGACCTGCTTTCTCGCCGGCGGAGATCTATACCTCTTCGAATACGGTGTTTCCCCGGCGTTTTTTCTCGCCAAAGCGCGAGGAGGCACATGCACTCTGGCTCAGTCCGATGCTCCGGAGCAGGTGCTTCACCGTGCCTTGTTCCTCCTCGAGAATGGCTTCGGCAATTATAATATATTCAAGAATAATTGTGAGGACTTTGCCATTTACTGTAAGACAGGATTGCTTGTGTTCACGGGCATCGGCGTTGGCCGCAGCGGGCAAGCGGCATCGTATATGGCGGCGGCTAGTGCAGTGGTGTTCTTCGCCGCTTCGGTTCTTGACGGCTGGTTTTGGTGGCTTGGCTTTGGTTGGTTGTGGCATGTATTGTGCAGGCAGATTAGCTTCTGATATCGGAGTTCGCCATGATGCCGTCAAAGTTCCGGTGGAAAGACTCGTTATAGATTCGTCGTCGGAGTTCGATGAACAGGAGAAGACATTGGGATCACTGATGGCCAGAGGTCATGAGAGTTAGCGGTGGCCGGCGGTTGCTCAAATATATTTACACAACGGATATTGTCAAGTTTGATCGGTGCTGGAATCTGCTCGTGTTGCATGTTTTGCGTGTAATAATCATGAGACGCCTGCTGCTCAACATGTCAATGGCATTTTATTTTACGCATTTTAATTTTACCATAACTAATAAATCGTGTGAGGTGAGTCGTAGATGCCTTGATGATGTTAATTTTATATTTTTATTGATTTTTTGCATGTAATATATTTTTGCAAAAATATATTAGTTTTGACTGAATTAAGTAATTAACAATTCGATTTTGTCATCTTGATATAGATTAATTTTAAACAATAATAAGCTCAAGTAGTAGGATCCTTTCGGTTTAAACTGGTTCTTGATCAAGGGAAGCCATCAACTGAATATATTTAGGAGCATCTCTTGTCAGTACACGAGTTAATTCAAGTTCGCACCCTTGATTTTTTTTGGGCCGAAAAAACTAAGGTGTATGCAGAAAAATTTTCGCTAATATTATATGTGATTGATACTACCAACTACGTAAAGTAGGTTGGAAAATGCAATCAAAATTCATAACTCAAATTTTTTGGAAAAATTACCAAAAAAACGTAAAAATTATAAAATCGCAAATTGGGACATGTTACGACACTTCATAGGTTTTGATAATAAAATTGAATTGCAAATAACAACATGTTTTTTAAAAAAAATACCTGGTTTATAATTTAATAATTTTCACCGTCTTGTTTTGCAATTTCCCAATTTTCTTTCATTTTTTAAATCGGAAATATCTGCAGAAAATACTTTTTTGTTTTTTGCCAACCTGGAGAAAATACATTTAGGATGCGTACTGTTGGCCAAAGAGTTTAAATGGGTGAAATACGGGCTTTATCGAGGCCCAAAAGAAAGAGTGATATAGGAATTTAGGGTTTAGTTGTATATTGGTAATCTCTCCAAGGTTCTCGACAGTTGGCCCTTCCGCTGCGGCAACGAGCTCGTCGGGGTCTCTGGTGCAGGCGAATAAGGTAAGTTGCTATGGCGGCCGCGGTAGCTCAACCTCAAAGCCATGACTTCATCGAACCGGTCAACGATGTCAAGCTCTTCAATCGTTGGACCTTCGAGGATGTTGAGGTTTCCCTTTTACTCTTTTCAATCATATTTCCCCTATTCATGGGCATATTTCAATCTAAAATTTAAACTTCCGAAAACTGATTTTGAGGGTATTGTTTTTTCTTTTGGTGACGATTGTAAAGGTATTGTTGACATTTCTTTCTCGCATTTATGCCCAGTTTCGGCAGCATATTACAAAGCCCCCCCCCCCCCCAAAATAACAGCCCAGATAATGTGGCGAGAATTAATGCAAAAATTTAATCTAACTTGATCGATTGCTACTACATCTCATTTCTTTCTCTGTAATTTCCGTGATTCTCATACTTGACATTTCTTGTAAGCATAAGAAGACGTAAGTAGTGAAGTATATGTTTCTTGAGCAATCATTTTATCTTGATTTCCAATCATGGACATGCTTCTATTTGCATGTGATTGCGTCACTGTTTTGACGCAGGGATATTGGAAATTTTTCTTCTTAGTGATATTCAACTGATATAGATGATTTTCAAAAATGAAGTGGCGGAAAATAGCATCTATTTGATGATGGAACATTTAGTTGCATATTCAGCTTCTTAATTTTTTTTTTTTTTTATTATTTTGGTGTCTTTTACCAAGAGATTATGTTTCTGGATATTTACAAGCTCAACTTTGGCAAATGATCCATGTGCTCTGTCGTCCGGTAGCCCACCTGTTAGATCTTGAGAGCTAGGACAGAAAGAAAGGGGAAGAGAAGAGAAGAGAAAGAGAAGGGAGGAGAGAGAGGGAGAGCCTAGATCCAGAATCTGAAATTCTAGGAGAAGAGGAAGTTTAAGTCAAACTGAATAATGCTTTTCATTCATCTCCCCTTTTGGCAGAATACATGTATGATATTTATAGGATGGTATATAAACTGAAAATAACCTTATCCTATCCATATAAAACTAACAATGACGTAACCAACGCTGGACACTTGTAACAGTTAATACAAGACACATAATAAAACATAAAACATATACAACATAGTAATTCAGTGAAAAATAAACTAGTAAAAGCCCCTGGTTCCTATCACCACCTCTCGGGTTCTTGTATCCTCACATTACAAAATGATGACTTGTACGATTTGCTTACTTCACGTGCTATGCCTTTCAATATTTGTGCTTGAGAAGTAGTTGTTGGGTTTGGATCTATAATGATTTATTTCTTGATGTCATGAGCGAGTGTGGTTTTGTCCTGGCCATGACAGTATCTGTTGTTTCTATTATTCATCAATGCTTCTGAAGGTTACTAATTATTTAGGCATTACCATTTTAGGTGAATGACATATCCCTGGCAGATTACATTGGTGTGGCTCCTGCCAAGCATGCAACCTACGTGCCTCACACTGCAGGGCGATATTCGGTCAAGCGTTTCAGGAAAGCACAATGCCCTATTGTGGAGAGGCTCACCAACTCTCTTATGATGCACGGACGAAACAATGGGAAAAAGCTGATGGCAGTGAGGATCATAAAGCACGCCATGGAAATTATCCACTTGCTTACTGATCAAAATCCAATCCAAGTTATTGTTGATGCTGTGATCAACAGGTATAAAAATAGGAAACAGATGTACAATTGAATTGACCACCCCTTTTACTTCTTTGGCTTACATCTAATTCCATGCTCTAACTTTTCTTTCACACCAGTGGACCAGGGAAGATGCTACACGAATTGGGTCTGCTGGTGTTGTCAGACGTCAGGCAGTGGATATTTCTCCCCTGCGTCGTGTGAATCAGGCTATCTATCTCCTTACTACAGGTGCTCGTGAGTCTGCATTTAGGAATATCAAGACAATCGCAGAATGTCTGGCTGATGAGCTTATCAATGCTGCAAAGGGATCATCAAACAGGTATACAAAAGGGGGGGGGGGAACTATATTTTCAACCGTTTGATGGAAATCAATCGTGTTTCTGTAGCACTTTAAGCTGGTTACATCATTAGTTCATGCTATATGTCCTCGTTTGTTCTTTGTACGCTGATTCTTTTTCTTGGTTTTTTTTTTTTTAGCTATGCCATTAAGAAGAAGGACGAGATTGAGAGAGTTGCCAAGGCTAACCGTTGAGGAATGGAAGAGAGGCTCATGGACAGAAGTTTTGCTCCTGAGTTTGTTTTGTTTCTGACCTCCTGTGGCTTTTTTTACTGCTGGACCTTAATTAAAGATATGATTGCGAGCTTGTTTCATTTCTTGAATATTGAATAGCTTTGATTTTATAAGATAGATGTTATTTCTCGAAAAAGACCCTCTAATATTCTGCCAAAAAAAGAGAGACTATCATGAGCTGTAGAGTACTATGATTCAATCTGGGTGCTCATCAATCAAATTAGTTGGAATGATCTAAATTCAATTTTTTTTTGGTATTTTTAATAGTTCTTTTATTGAAGAGCAAACTTGTTAAACAATGAGTAAGAGAGAGTTTGGACGAGTTATATATCATGGCTAAAAAAGGTCTACAAATTACAAAGATATTCATGAATTATCATTGAAATTTAAAGCACGTTTTCCAAATTCCCATTCCTCTTAATTGTCTCGTGCAAACAAATCAAATTGCGAAAAATTCTTCATTATAAGTTATATCTCCTTTGTATTTATTTATTTAGACAGGGAGCAACGCAATTTTTTGGTTGGACTGAGGAGGCAACGCAATTTAACACGACTAAATGGGATGTAAAATCTTATAAAATTATAATTATAGTCATTCACTTTTTCCCCTTAATCTTTCTACGATATATTTGAATCTGCAGAATCCAAACAATGTTCGATATATTTTTTAAAATAGTTTTTCTTAAGCAAAACATAACAAACGTATAGTATTTGAATAAGAACATTATAAATTGATTAGAAAATAACTTATTTATCTAAAAATTTCGTGCAGTTGCTAGATTTTCAATAAAAATGTAATCATAAAAGTATAAAAAATAGGTATGACTTTATTAATAATCATTATACTATATATAATGTATAAGGGAGGTCTCTGGAAAACTATAATCTAAGAACAAAAATCGTAACACAAATATGGATGGAGAGGAAAAATCCGCAACCAATCCTCCATCTATTATTGAAACATATACAAATCCAATAGGAACCCAAAAAAATAGCAGTAAAACCAGCAAAAGCCATATTCTCTACTAGGAATGAATTCACAGCCTAAGCCTGAACTTACAACTGCTACTTACAATCTTGATCTCATTATTGCTTTCCAATCTATCCACCACAAGCCTGCACCTAACCTTGAACTTCACTTTGAACAGTTTCAACTTCCCAAGCTTGATCCTCACGGGTTGCTTTGCCCTAAGGTTCAGAGGAATATTCCCAGTCTGCTGCATTTGCTCCTGAATCACAGCCTGCAACTCAGTTGCATTCTGTATTTGCCCGGAAAGAGGCAAATGAAGCACTGTAGTGTTCTTGTGACCCTGATAGAACTTAGGCAAAGACCCTTCACATAATTTTGTGTCCATGTACCAAGCACTCACATGGCTGCCTCCTTCGTAGTATATTCCAATCTTCTTGTTTGGGTTTCTAGCTGTGACTGTCACATTGAAAGTTGCAGAGAGATTGTTGTCTTCTGAAAGACTGAACCGGGTAACTGTAAGCCCGTCTATTGAGTATTTGGGAAGCTTTGGCCTGAACACAAGGAACAGAATTCCTATGGTTATGCCTATGGCTACTATTAGTATCAGCAGAAGGCTTATGATCCAGCACAGAAACTTGCAGCAGCAACTTCTTGACCTTCTTTTCTTCAGCGCCGGCGCCGGAGCAGCCCGCTCCTCCACTGGTACGCCATGATCGGACTTTGATACGTCCCTTGGGAACAGTGGAGCTGACGGTGTGTGTGGTGATGCCTCCACATCTGGGACTGGGTGAATACGCTGTTGATGATCAGCCATGTTGGTTCAGGAAATATCAGAAAATGAATGTTTCAATTTCTTCAATGCAGTCCCTTGCACAAGTATATATATGCACATAGATAATGATACAGGTTAGGTCTGCGATGAGAATATTCATAAGGCGCTTCTCTTATTGACTTTATATGGCATGAAGGCTAAAGGCTAGGAATGGTTTTATATTAGAGCTAAAGACTTATCTCAGTCACGTGTACCAAAAATTCAGCAATAAATGGCGTCCAGAAATTGCTACTGTATGCTTCATGAATTTTAAACTTCATGTAATTTTGGCCAACGAATTTTATTGCCTTGCTTTTCCTTCAAGGTCTAGTGTTGCCGCATTTGACCTAATGCCTTATTTTATTTTGGTTTCTAGATCCGTTATTACTATCTTCAAATACTCCCAAATACAAATAATCGAGAAAGTATAAAACCCTGACGCATGCACTTCTCTGAATATCGTGGTCTTTTGCCCCCATACGTAAAATAGTCTGAACGCACTATCATCTAAGCTTTCAAAGCATTGATTTATTTTTTTTTTTAAAAAAAGGCATGAAATTGCTTTTCCCATTAAGCATAATCTGTAATATATATATATATATATATATCTGTTTTTGTTTTTAAAAAATGACCTGAAACAGGTAAATCCCCAAATAAGAAGTTGCTGATAACTTTCTGCTTTAAAGGCGTCTTTGAAGTTTGGCCCAAAAAAAAAAAAAGGCGTCTTTGAAAAGGCTATGGAAGTTTCCTTTGTCGCGAAAAAATACGTGTTCAGTTGAGAAGACCAGGTCATAAACAAAATAGATATCATAGAACACACAACCTGTTCACAACAAACAACGTACGCGTGGTGGCTTAAATCTTGACTTTGCTGCTGACAACATCACTGATCTCAGGGCTGCCATCACCGTCGTGTATTAGAGAAACTCTCTGGCTTGGTTTTGTTGTGGGGGAGGAAGTTTATATGTTTAATGTTCAAGTGGCCACAGATAAAGGCACAAGTGGAATCAGTTGGACCCATCAAACAAAACAACAACGTTATATGAGGTTTGCTGTGGTAGTTGCTTGTTTGAACTTGAATGCTTCTGACAAAGCAATATATATATATATATAGTTCACCAGTTTCAAGAGTCGACCAAACCTGGCTGCCCCAGAAAAAAAAGGTTCCACTCCCTACCCTTTGCTCAACCGGACACAACAAATATTACATGTTTAATTATTTTCATTAAGATGAAAGTAAGAAATAATTAACAATCTATTTCTTTTTTTTGAACTCGATTGTCAATAATAAATTCATATTAGGCAGCAGGTGTGTTGAACAGAATAGATCGATTAAAATGAATAAAAAGGGGATCATCTTGTCTTTAGGAACAGTTCTGCGTGCGTAAGAAGAAATTCGTTCCAATAATTATTATACTCCGTGAAAGGATAGAATTTGATAACCAGATTTGAAAATCTTTTTTTAGTAGAACTGATTAAGACTTATATATTATTAGTGTTATATTATGAGTAGTATTCAACTTCTGCAAGCAAAAAAGCTAGTTTTTATAAATATATTAAAATGAATATCGACTGCTTTCAAGCCGCCAGAAAAGAAACCAACTACTCCTTCGATCCTTAATATAAGACCTTTTTAATTAATTTAATTAGATTAAAGAAATTAGATAAGTTAGTTAATTATAAGAAATATGACATGTTTTTTCTAAAACACCATAATCATATTTTTTAATATCCTTCCTCCCTCACTTACTTAATTATACTTGAGAGAGTATCCATAAAGTAATTTAAAAAAAATAAAATGATAAATAGGTCATATATTTAAGACCAAAATTAACTTAACAATCAATTCTTATATTAAGGATTGAAGGAGCAGTTTCTTTGCACGCACACATATATTTGGTAAAACACACATTACCAAAATATCATACATTCTATGGTTATAAAATATCATACTCCTCCCATCCTTAATATAGAACCTAATTGTTGATTGAATTTTGGTCTAAAATATTAGACTTATTTCTCATATTTGTCAATTTTCTTCTAAATTATCCCTATAGATATTCTCTCAACCATAATCAAGTAGAAGAGGGACAGATGATTATAGTATTTTAAGAAAAACATGTCATATTTTTTATAATTAATTAACTTACCTAACTTTCTTAATTAATCAAATTAGTTAAATAAGTTTTATATTAAGAACCGAAGAGTACATTTTATGCATATTATTATTTCACATAAAATAACCGGTTTTGCTACCCAAAAAAAAAACTTATCTTAATGGTGATAATATATGGCCAGCCAAGGCTCTTACAAATTCCCAATTTTTTTGAGGACCAAATTCCCAATTATTAAGAATTCTTCTTCAAGAAAGAGACGGACTAGAAAGTCTTCTACATATGTTTTGGGCCTCGGCCCAATATGATAAATATAATATAACCTAATATTATGACAGGGGTATTTAGAAACCCTCAAAATCAATTAAAAAAAATGTTTTTATATAAATTGAGACAAAAATTATGACTTCATAAATTTACTTTTGAGAGGTCAATCCAAGCACAACTGTAAGTGTCAACATCTACCATTCATCTAGCAAAAGGCAACTGAATGGAAACATCATGAGGACTTCTCTTTTTGGTCAAGAAGTCATGGAATGAATGTAATGCATTGAGAATACGCGGACATTCATTCATTGAATTCGATCAGATGGATCCATCATAAAAAGTAAAAACAACGTGGTCCACTGAAATCGCTGAGAAAGGCCATTGCTGGATCTAATAATCATACAAGTTAATGAATACAATGCAACGAATAATAAGGATGGGCATAATTATACGAAAATAGTTGCAATTAAGCAACTTTTAAACACAGGAAATGTCAAACAATGTTGGTGAAGCTATGTATCGCAGGTATTTACGTGGATCCAGCCGCTATTACGACATTGGGTATCGCGTGAACGTCCTTAATGTCACCAAACCTCCCACTTCCTATACTCTGAGAATCGCATTCTCTTTTGCTCGAGTTCCAAAAATTAGTTGAGTCAGAAGAATTTGGTTTCAGTGAAGAAGAAGAAGAAGAAAACCCCACATGCCTTTGTCCACTCACAGTGAATCTCATGCTTTCAGAAGATCCCTGGTCCTCCATATCGAATACGCCACCACCAAGGAGCGAATCACCTCGGCTTACTGTTGTCACGTACTTTTGTAAGCTAGGCTCCATGACATCATCAGCGACATCTACCTCGGATTCTACAAAAGGGTGTTCCTTGACACTAGAATCTGGCACCCTCTTCGCATAGTGATTGGGAGGACGATTCGACTTTGTACTGGCGTTGAGATCAGCTACAGCTTCAAGGATGGAGCAAGCTTTGGCGACGCACGCTGGAAGAGGAATGGAAGGAGTAATGTTGTTGTTTTGATGGAAGTTTTGGATGTCTTCAAGCAGCAGCGAGGTGTAAGATTGTGATGGAATCCCTATGGTTTCATAGTTGAGGAGATAGTCTAGGTCTCGTGATCTCCTAGATGATCTGCTTCTTGTTAACGTTAATGCTTGGGGTTTAAGGTTGTCGAGCCCTGAAGGTGGTATCACTGTTGTCTTCAGATTAACATTTTCAGTCATTGAAGACTGTTCTTTGACCTCTTCTTCCTCCTGTTGCTCCTTCGTCTTCATTCTGCTTGTTCTGCTTTCGATATTGTTCGCATCAACTTTTGTTTTCTGCAGTGGGCATTGGCAACAAACCATCAAAACCAATCAAATCGTCAAATTAATAGGATAAAACAGATAGTTTTCACATAAACAGAAGTTAATAGAATTCCTAAAATGGTTTGGTAATCTCCAGCTTAAATCATGAAATCTTTCCATACCGCATCAATATCCTCAAATTGCTTTTTCACGGAGAAGAAAGCCTCCGCAATGAAGCAAAATTTCATAATTCAAATGAGAGCCACGTGGAAAGATTATCAAATACTACCTCATATAAGACCTTATTTGATTTTTATTTTGATCCTAAATATAAGACCCAAATCTATTTTATCTCTCATATTTACTTAATTTTTTTAAGATAATCCTTCTAATAACCATAGTTCTAATTAATACACTTGATTAGTAAGGATATTTTAGAAAAGACAACACTAGAACAAATAACAAACTCAACTTACTTCCTTAATCTCTTCAAATTAGTCAACTGACTCTTATAATTAGGACAGGAAGTAATAGTAATTTTGCGGAGAACTTTAACAAGAAATCTTAATACTAACTCCTTTAATTTTTAATATAAAAACTAGTTAAGAATTAAACTTGGTCTTAAATATAAGTCATGAATCCACTTTGTCCCTCCAAATTTGTAATTCATTATCTAAAGTATTCTTATTAATTATCCATTACAAGAGATTTCTCTTTCAAGGTAGTAATAATAAAAAAGAGTGCCTTTAAGAAAATTAAATTAATTAAATACAGAAGAACAAAACTTCAATTCATTCACGCAAACAGATATGTCAATCCTTTGCTGCTGAGAATGGCAAACGCAATCAAGTCATTTACCTGATTAGCTTGCGGTTCAGTGTCCCTTCTGGATTTACTTTGGAACCTGCTGCTATTGTTGTTCGCTGATTGTGAATAAGCAAGAGAATTAACATCGATCTCACCGAGCGGGTTTCTTCTATGAGGAGATTGTTCTGCTTTCCTTGAAGAATTACGACTCAGTGAAGGTTGCTGCTGATTCTCACTGAACAATGTTACTTTACCATTTGCTGCATTTCCATTTGCTCTTGCAGGAGACTGAGAACGAGGTGAAGCTGCACCAACATTTCTCCTCACTGAGACCCTTATAATGCCCCCACCACCATGATTACTCTTATCCATAGCCAAGGATGAAACAGTAGGAGGGACAGACAACATTTTTCCAGGCCTAGTTGTGGTCGCGTTGTTGTTAATGTTGTTGTTTGTGAGGTTGCAGGTTGTAGTATCTAACGATCGTTTGCTTGGAGATCTGCTAACTCTTCTCTCCCTACTGCTTGAACGTTGCTGTTGGCCTCTTTCTCTGCTGGGTGTTCTTCTCCTTCTCTCTGACGAAGGCACGGGAGATCTCCGACGGTACCGCTGCCGGTGCTCTCCGGCCAACCCATCATCGTCCTCACATAATAAGTCACTATTGCCAACGGCATTGGTGGTATTATCATTCTCACAGTCGTCAAAATCACGGCTTCTCTTTGAAGCAGAGTGTTTTCTCCTTCTCCCACGTTCACCAGAGGAAACAGCTTTCCCTGAAGAGTTTCTGCTCAGTCTTCCACACTCTAAGAGAATCTCGTCTACTTCTTTTGCTTCCGCTGCTACATTGGCCATAGTAATTGAAGCAACCCCCTCAGAATATGCGTGTTTGGAAAATTTCTCTCTATCATTATTACCACCATCAGAATAGCTCTTCCTGTGCTTGATGATAAAGACCTCTTTTTTCACTTGGCCTTCATCTTCTTGCTTGTTCTCCTTCTTTAGGCTCGCTTCTCGCTCAGATTCCACTTCGGATTGGAAGACAGTGACAGCTTGGGGTTGAAGATGGGGCGTGGAGCTAGAAACTGACTTAGTTGCAGAAACAGAGGAAGAGGAAGACGACCTTTTCTTCTTACTCATACACGTTCCCATGGAATCTCTGGTTTGATCTTAACCAATGGAGCGAAAGAAAGAAAGGGGAATGAAAGAGATAGTAGAGTAGTTCAACAACGTACGAAGGGATAGGGTGTTCTCAGATTTGAATGGAAACGTTGCCCAAGAAACAATTTTTTAAAGGGACATGGTAGCTTTCTCAGAATTAATGAGAGAGAGAAGAATTCAAATTTTGGCAGCACACAAGCGTGTTTGCCACATTCTCTTTCTATAACACGGATCCGTTGGGGCTACAAGGGTTTATTGGTCTCTGACACCACCTACTTAATGTCATTAGCATATTTCAAAAATGAAATTTTCTTCTTCACACGCGCACACATGACATAGAGTGATTTTGGATGATGAAATTTTTACGTGCATCATATATATATATATATATATATAACACCATGAAAAAAAAAAAGTTAAAATATACATTTGGTTTTTTAACTTTATATAAAGTTTCGGTTTAATCCTTTAATTTTAAAAAGTATATTTATAATATCTTAATCCTAAAATTATTAGTCTTAAATGATGATTTTTGGTAACAATTAGGATTATTTTAAAAATTAAACTTCATATTATGGTATTTAGTAATATTTTATTAACATTCAAAAACTCAATATCATCATTTTTTATTTACTTTTTAAAATTCAGGGATCATAATAAAATTTTATGTAAAATTAAAAGACTAAAAATATATTTTTACCCAAAAAAAACCTGATATGCCCTTATCTTCGGTACCCTAAATTTGCAGGGTAATCTTGTCTGTACGGATGGAATAAAATGTTGAATCCTCGGCCAGATTCCCGAGAAAATTCACCGTGCTGTTCATCTTTGTTAGAGGATTAAGCAACGGCCATCTTCATCCGATCTGTCAGATTCCGAGAAGAATTTATCATCCTATTACATAGGTTTATGCGGTCGACTGTTGCTCGGAGTTCAATAACGTTCACTTTCTCACGGTTAATCACACACAGTGCAGAGATAGAAGTACCACTGAGGATATTAGAATTCTATTGAATTGACTAGAACAATCCACATAAAAGTCCAGAACACAAAATCTCAATGGCTCATTTAGTATGAGATCCATAATAAATATTTATTGCTATACATAAATAAGGAACAGAGGAAATTAATAGTTCCCTCTCTTTGAAGCAAAACCTCTCATCTTTTTGATGTCAATCCATTCATTCAATGTTGAAAATTTGAAACTTGGAAGGGAGCGATGCAAGTGAGCGCAACACAGTTCAACCTCATGAAGCCTATGCTCTCACGGAATAAATGCTTACTCATGAGCCATACACGGATAAAGAAAGAAGGCATTTATTTAATTTTCTGGTTGCTGAAGTGGTGTTATTAATAGCCGTATCCAAGAACTAATCACAGCTAGCAAAATCCACACTGATATTCCAAGCATGAATACACAATTTCAGCAATTTCACCAAAAGAACACCTATTGAAATAACTTAACCTTGACCAACTAGAATTATTTAGCCTGACATGTCAAAAACAGCGAGCCACTATAAAGCCATAAGCACTAGAAGTTTTGAAGTCCCTTGCTCATCTTTAAAGGCAACAACAACTTCAACCGGCATCATCAGCAGCAGCAGCAGCAAGCAGATGAATTAAGGTGATCCCGTTGCTCCAGGGAAGAGCTCTGATATTTTATTGAAGACGTCCATGACCTGAAGTTTACAGTTAAACACTATAAGACGCGAGAGCCAAACGCTTAACAATTAGCATGAAAGTTGTTCATAAGGAATTACTGGCTGGGGGCATAGGAAGATCGGACAAAAATTTAAAATCTAAATACCAAAAAGCATATGCTTTCAAGAATGACATAATCAAAGCTGAAGATGTAATGCAGCATCAAGATACCTCCTTGTCATTTTGATATTTAGTAATATTCAGCGGGTTCTGTGAACACTGCAATTAGAACATAATACAGTCAGTTCTTTTTTTGGGGTGAAAGAAGGGGTACAGTCATTCTTTTATATTTAAGACGAACTAATTATAGTAGTACATACATCCATGATAGCCGCCTGAACTTTAGGATTTTGAAACGCCATTGCAACGTCAGGATTGGACATTATCTTTGAAACGACCTCTTCAGGAGTAAGCCCAATTTGATCTGATGAAAGTAAAATGTCAAGAAGGAGCGAAGGGGAAGAAAGAAAGATTCGTTATCAAAATCAAACAATAAAGTGCATTAACATCCTATGTAATGCAGAACTACAATATAGGAAATCCTATGTCCCAGATGGCAAGGTGGGGGAACCCCGTCAAATGCTAATCGGTCCAACTTGGAAGACACATTGCTAGGAGTTTCTAGATTCAGTCTCACACGCACATGCTATCATTAATTACAAAAATAGGAAATCTTATTCTCATAGGATAGAACCAAAAAAGAATTCTAAACTTAAAATTTAAAGTCCAGTGAAATTCAAAGCAGTCAGCAAAGAATAGAACTACTGCAAGGAACGAGCTTAATTCACCCAGCTCTCGTACAAAATTGTTCAAATTAATTTGAAGCAATAGGTTTTAAAAAAAAAAAAAAAACTTACCAAATTGTTGCTTAACCTCAGGACTGTTCAGGTCAAAATTTTTCAACGTGTCCATCATTCGGCTGTCCCATTCACCGCTCCCACTCATATTGTTTCTGAAACCAGAAAACAGAAATATAACAGCAGGATTTAATTCTTTGACTCCAGGGAAGATTGCCCCACAATGTTGATTAAAACAAACGATTACATATATTGAACTGCAACATACAGAATGAAAATAAAAATAAAATTTGGCATTGTCATATGAAGCATGAAACATTGGGAATAATTTTTAAATGTCTTGCTTCCCAAATCCATTCGACCAGCCATTTGCATATATAAAAAATTGAGTGGTATGCTGAACCACATAAGTATTCAAAACATTCCATCAACTGTAATGTAAGATTTTATTTACAGAAACAAGATAAAACAAAAGCATTAAGTAATCGACAATTAATACTTTAGGAAAATAACCCTCCACTGGAAAACACCTGACAATTAATAATCAAAAGGGTTTGCAACAACTTGTAATTATGGTGCATAGCATGTCCATTAAGTCTATCAAGGAAATCTCCTAAAAATCAGAAGCAGGTAGCAAAAATAGTGAGGATAATAACTTCATTGTGTATGTTTAACGATAGAGAAAGATGGCGCACAGAAAACCTGAGAAAAACAACATCTTAGCAGTTAAAATTGCAAGAGAAATGGAATGAAAATATTGCGTTTGCCACCACAAAACGATGGCTTAGGAAAGAGGAAGTCATTATCCACCTGTGGACAATTATTCTGCCCACCAGAATACTAGTAAAAAATGCATGTAAAGTAACTGAGAAAGAAGAAGAATAAGAAGACGACCCCCAAGAAACAGCACAACACTGAACAATGCACGAAGAACTTACAGCATTTCTTCAAGTTGTTGACGGTACTGAGGATTCTGCAGCATCCCTATTTAAAGCAGCAATGATACAACTATTAGTTTTCATTTATCATATTAAGGTGTTAGGTGGTAGATATTAAAGTGAAACATGAAAAGTTTCTATTACACAGTATCATAGTGCAAAAAAAGGGGGGAAATAAAAAAGATAATGAGCCCCCTGAAAGATGACAGATGATGGCATCATATGAAATGTATAGACATTATTGTACAAAATAGACAGCATGGCCTCTCAAGCTTTACCTCAGTATTAGCCTGTGTTCTCAGCAATGATAAGAAACAGGTTCATACGGCCAAAGCTAGAAATCTCAAACCCCCATAAGACCCAAAAAAATAGGCACACGGAGAAAAAGATAGCAAACACATGCAGCATCAAAATTATATATGTAGCTGATTCCTAGCATGGCGATAACCAATTAAAATTGCTTGTCACCAAAATATTTGATGTTTTGACACTTGTGATAACTCAATATAATCAAAGGTCATAAAAGGAAGGAAATTACATTTGAAGGTAGTAGGATTCCTCATCTCCTCAGGTAAATAGCTGCAGCAGTACCAAATGAAATTTAATTTTCTTTTGGATGGCAAGAAAAAATCTAATAATTTAAATGACCATTAAAACAATATTTGCAAAGCAATGAAAAAGCATAATATACTGAGAATCTACAGGTGCGTACGCTAAAAATCAATCCAATTTATTTCAAAAGAAACATGGGACCAAATTGGCGTGCAAAAAAGCTCCCAACATATTACCGAATATTAAAGAGAGATGAAAACTAATTTATGCCAACGAATCTATAGAAAATGAATGAAAGGGAGGGGGGGGGGAGATGCCCACCAAAACAAGACTCAAAAGCTATCAGACATTAGTTCTCTGTCAGAATAATCTGCGTTAGGTTCACATATACATTTAATTTGTACTGGTGCATATTTCACTAAGAAAATAAAAACACAGAAGTCTTGGACTTTACCAGTATGATCAGTAACAAAATTTATAAGAAAGCTACCAAAAGCACAGTAAAGAAACCTCAGGTAGGGAGGGGGGGAGGAATTTAGAATTTTTTTTTTAAAAAAAAAGGAAGACAAAAACAGAGGGAAAAGGCCTGAAAGCAAAACAATGAAGGTTCCAAGATTCACTTCCAGCAACTGACATATTTAAGTCAAAAAGTATAATTTCATCCTAGCACACATGCTGAACCTGCAATTTGAAAAGTTCCTAATTCTTTGTTGTTTGTAATAGGAAATGTATTGTTGATAGTTAAGTGTAGAAGCACAATAATAAGGGGAAGAAGGTCACCAAAGGAAAACAAGACATAAAATTAAACAAAAAAATGTAAAGGATTCATCTAAAACCCATCATTGCCACGCGCCATGAGGAGAATAAGAAGACAAATAATACAATCTAAAATTGATTTTAAACCTTGCATAAAGAAGTAGAACATTAGACCCATCAAAGCTTCTTAAGTATGATAAAGAAGCACTACAGAGACAGCCAAGAGAACATTCACTAGGAACCCAAAATCATAATCACTAAGCCAAAGGGAATTAATATTACGGATAAACCATCTTCTGCACTGATGGGTCTTCCATCATTTTCTCCAAGGCTTCCACTGATAAGACTGATTTTCCTAACCAAAAAAATGAACAAGTTCAAACTTAGAACATTTGTTTAATCTAGAACGCAACTCATTTAAAGCAACATTGAAAGAACAGCGTCACATATAATACATGTTCTGTGATTGCAGCCAAGCAAATCTCAACTGAATTCAGCCCATAGCATCAATGTTACCGGTGAACAATACTTTTCCAAACTCAAATTAATCCATATTTGACTGGCATGGTTTCAAACGAATGAATAAGAATGTTGAACTTGAGTCAATAGGTTATCATATATGTTCATGTACAAGCTAAGGATAAGCTGCATACCACGTATCTTTGCAGAATAAATTGACTGGAGATTTTGGAGAACAAAGCGCATGTCCTTACACAATGGAAAGATTTCTTTTGATAAGATATGAAGGGAATTGGAGGGCAACCAAGGCCAATTATGTGGCAAACCATTCAGTTAGAGAGGCTAAGTCATTTAAAACATATATCTTTATCTCTTGAGATGTTGTGGGAAGAGATTTTTCATGTCTTCCATTTGGAGTTTCAGGTCGTACTTATTTGACGCCCCTTTTGATTTCTTTTTTGTGGTTTCTGCAGGAGGTTGTCTTATCATTCTTCTTATGAAATTTACAGCTATGGTCATTGAAAGAGGCAAAGATTTTGAACCAGTTCCGTGACCAGGCCATTTATTTTTTGACTAACACATTTTTAATTTGAAGCTACCACAATTAATTTAATAATTGCATTTACTCACATTCACCCTATCAGCAGCAGCTATTTATGCGGGGGGGAAAAAAATAGTATCATAATAAAAGTTAACTTCTAATATTTTCATGCTAAAATTAATATGCTACTCTAATACTTTGAAGTTTCAGTACTTTAGTTTTAATTTAAAAAAAAAAGAAGGTATCTTCGGATTAATATCATTCCATCCTCGTAGCATATTTTTAAAATAAATTTCAATATAAATCAACCTTGTGACAGGAACCAAGCGCCAGAATTGATCTTAAAATAACAGATAATAATCAAGAGCCTAAGTCTAATGAATTAAGCTACAAATGTCCAGGAAATGAAAGAAAATTGCATTCTGATAAATGACAAATCAGACACAAAAACACAAATAATCTAACACAATTCCTTCAGCAGTCAAGAGGCAAGAGTCTCTATTCAACAACAATCTCTGATTGCTTGTCCTCCCACTCCAACCAACTACCTCATTATATTCCTCCCCACTGAACTAACCCCACTCTCTTTCTCTCTCACCTCGCACCTTCCTCATTAGCATGCAATAAAAAAATGAAGAGGAACGTTGGACTTCTGGGAAACACATATAAACCTGTTCGCTTTTGTGGGGTATAGCACGATGAAATTGTGTTAGACCCAGAAAAAATGCCTCATGCAAGGATCAGGCATCAGCTTCATGAGTCTTTTAGTACCCAGGCTGTTTGGCTCATATGTTGACTGGGTTTAGTTCAATGAAGTTGAGCTAAACTCAGCATGCACTTTGACTGGGATGCTTAAGGAGGTGGCTGTGCTGCTGGGGCAGGGCTCACTGGTGCTGCTTGCCAGATTGGCAATATCTAAAGGGAGGTCAGTTGTGGTGTAGATTAGTTGGCAAACTATGCTTGCTCATTGTATTTATGTTTGCAAGGTCTAAAGGATGGAATGGCTTCTAGTTGGCCTTACAGATCTATCTTTCCCGTTCGTGTTCTATTACTTTTTCATTTGGAACAATGAACATTTTTTATGTCTTGAAAACTACAATGAACTTGGCAAACAAGAGAACACAGTATTTATCATCAAAATAGCACAGTGACCATGGATTTCTTCAAAAGCAAGAGCAGACATACAATGTGCTCCTCTTTACTTACCTGTAGATTGAGAACCAGATGAACCAGGTGACCCACCAAAGCCCTGGTTAGATGCCGCTCCGTTTTGAGAAACCTTCAACAAATGCACATTATTGATCAAATTTTAAGATCGTAACCTGCTCAGCAAAAACTTCTTAAAAACTCACTTCATCAGGAACCCGAGTTTCCTTGGTGGAACTTGGCTCACTAACATCTTTGAAGCTTTCAAATGGATTTTTCTGTTGAGTTTCTTCAGGAGAAACATCTACAAAAGCTGCGATAGATATTTTATCAGGAATGGGAATAGTTTCAATACTTGGGTAATAAAAGGATACAAATTTGAAAACTGACATCATCAAGCAGTATCATCTCTACTACCAAGAAAGATAACTCAGGAAGGTTTTTGACTCCACACCATGTCCCACATATTCCAAAAACATTCTATCTAATTAAATATTAAATATTTGTTAAATAAATGAAAAAAAAAATGATGGTGCACATGTGATTGTATAGTCCTAACTCCAAAACCAAACAAATGAAGAAAGGATGTGACTACTGATATCTCTTGTAATAGAGAGACAGAAAGCCATGCTGAGTCTCCTGGTGTGCACGGAAAGTGGTCTTCTCACGATCCTCTTCACACCCTGTTACTTCAGCTGTCTTGTCAGTTTAAAGTTTTTTCTTATATTCTTGGATGAATCGCTGCTTCCTTGCCAAGTACTTTATATGTTTCTTTCCAGTTCTACTTTTAAACTAGTATTTTCAACTACTTTATATGTTTCTTTCCAGTTCTACTTTTAAACTAATATTTTCTCCCCTATTCATTTTTGTCATTAATTATACATTTCTTTCCCTATTCATCCCCGTTCAGCACTGCAACTTAGGAAGGACACACATTCTTCATTCTGTGTGCAGTGGATAGCCCGGCCCCTAGCTCCTATGCACTACGAAACCACTAGTCTAGGACCTCATAAGGGCTCGCGACCATTTTTTCCCATTAACAACTTGCAATCGAGGTGTTTCTATTTACTTGAAGGATACCAAAAATGTCTAAAGCACGTATTTGAAATACAAGCACAGGTTATTAGCTTCTGAATTGTTGTTCCATTCTGCGTATGACTTCTTTATGAAATTGTTGAATTATAATGTTCCCATCAGCTCATGAAAAAAAATTTGCTAATTTTATCAGAAAGCGAAGAACCAAAAGAATGCCTGTTTTAGGTTTGTTGAAGTACATTTCAACATTAAAGCATCCAATCTATTGCAAACATAATATTTAAATTCAGCAATTGAACTCGCCAGAAAATTTATCCCCTCTGTTAAATGGGGATTAATAATTAGTGGATAGTGGTTACGGGGTTTAATTAGGTAGGGGACTAATATGTTGAAAATTCCTACATTTTACATGTACAACCCTCCCCCCAAGAGAATAAATAAATAAATAATGCCTCAATAAGGTGTATTTATGAACCGGAAAAATCAGAAGAACTAGGACAATTATTTAAATAGAGCCAGATATCCTGGTGGACACATATTCGCTGCATTAAGAAGTTCAAAAGCAATGGCTAATCTAACAGGAAAAGAAATGGGAGCAGTAAGCAGAGACTTTCTTTCAGTTACCAATTTTTTTGGGCTCTTCCTTTGATTGTGCTTCATCTTGGACACTAGTGGCTGAAGCTGCCTCTACATTTGTCACCGGTATATCTACTGTGACAGTAGATTGAGATGCGCTTGATGCTTTAGATGCTTGAGATTGAGAAGACCCTGGTGAAGCAGCAGGTGCCGTAGGGCCTGATGCTGACGGCACAGGAAATGGATAAGATCCAGGGGAAAAGGAAGGACTGTTAAACTGATTATTCTGTGAATTCATCTGGCCCATCATGGTCTTGAAAGCTTGTTGCATTGCATAATTCTGAAAGATCAGAAGATTGGCCGTGAATATCATTTAAGTTTAAGAGAAGTGAATATCATCATGGTCTTGAAAGCTTGTTGCATTGGATACTCCATCAATTGACCACCCAGTGGCTTCTCCATACAAACTAAAAAAAAGTTCTGCCCCAGAAGTTTTACTCTTACTCTAATTTTGAAATCAATTTCCCGATAATGCAGTGTTCTTCAGTGAAGACCTATGTCTCAGTCAGCTTTCTGAGTCCTTGGCAGACTGTAGATGATTACTTAACTAGCATGTCAGACCCCATTTAAGCCTAACATAAATATCCTTCCAAGTTTGATTCTCACTATTATGGTTTACTTGTTTCACTTTAAAAGGAGAAGCATGATCTGAAAGAAAGCTACTGACCGAAATCAAGAAGCACTGAGAATTGAACCAATTTATTTTTTATAATTAAGGAAAATCTTGCTGCAACTGTAAATCTAGCTGACCTTAAATAGCATGATTTCTGCAATGGGATTATCCAACCCATGGCAGGAGAGTTAAGTTTTATAGTTAATAACTCATTTTGGAACAGACATAAATTGTACATTATCATATGCCCAGAATTACCATAAACTCAAAGTACACACCAGCTTGTGCCCATGCACTGTGAGAAATTGACACTCACCTTTACTCTCGTAGATACCTGCAAAATACTTAACTAATTAAACAGCCAGCAAAGAAAAGCCCCATTGACATGTATTGCACAGAATAGTAGTCATAATTCTCACCCATGAAAAAAGTGCAGATAGCCCAACACCAACACCAATCCAGAACAGTGGTGACCCTCTGGAAATACATAGGACAAAGAAAAAAGAATAAGAAATTTTAAGCAACAGAAAACTGTACGTTAAAATGCTTGCAGCTATGAATTTTCAAGAAAGTCATTCCTCGCTATAACAATTTTGAGAAAAAATAAAGAATATAAATGTAGAACGACCAAGAGATACAATGTTCAAAAGATTAGTTGTTTACATAGTTGAGGACGGAGGTGGTGTGGAATATTGCGGGCTAACTCCAACAGATGATGTTTCTTGACTCTTTGATGAAGAAATGCTAGCGAAATGCTCCACTATCAACTTCTCCTGCACTGTTTTCTTAGCAGGTCTTATATTATGTATCAAAAGAGATGAACAGGAAACATTGAGATACACGTGGCTTATACCACACATTCGTTTATTAGAAAACTAGAGGGGACAAGTGCGCTGAGATCAAGTCGATGCATTATTACCATGGATGCACATCAAATCAAGACACTTTTACCTTCGGCTAGCAGAAGTATAAAACAATAATTATGCCTAGCTCGTCAGGACTCTGCCACTTTCTACATCTACTAATACGATTCCCGAATTCATCATTTCATCTACAAACATTCGAGAACAGCTACACTTTCTAAGTGGACCATAATGACTCTTTCACAGACGCTAAGTGGTTAAAAAACATTCGATATGCACAGTATATTTCTATTGTTGAATCTACCTTACACAGCCAAGATAGCATAATTCATCACAAATTTGATTGTGTGACTTACGAAAAACTTAAAACCTTTGAGAATCTAAATGTAGCGTATCAAGAGCACTGCGTTATAATATTTTGATAACTCTTACTACACATTAAAGAACCAGAAGAACCAGCATTCAACTGTAAATACAATCTAATGCAATTTAACGATATGACTGTAACACTCCAATTATTACTAGAACCTCGGTAAAGAGCATTGCATAAGAAACTGTTGCAGACCAGCAAACCCCCCAAATCCTTAAAAGCAATACAATATTGCAATAGAGGAAGATAATAAGGGATTTACCAGGTTTTGGGTTTTGCTGGGGTTTAGCGGCAGCCCGGATGACATTAGAACGAGAAAGGGAAGACACGGAATATCTAGAGTAAGGAGGCACAGTTATTGCACTTCCAAAAGAAAAAGGCGTTCTTCTAAAGACGTCTTTTGTGGGGTTCTTTGCAGAAAAATGCCCCATCAACGTGCTTTTTGGAGAAGATACTAGGGTTAGATTAAGGTTCTCCATGTTTTCCAATCTACGGAGCCGAAAAAGAACAGAAGAATAAAAGTGCAGGGAAAGTGGAAGACGAAACTGAAGTAAGAGGTTGGAAAGTGAATAAAATTCTGGATTTTACGCACTTCACTATCTGGGATTTCAACTTTCAGCTCAGCGACGTAAAGAAGAAAGATAGAAAGCGGCAGGGAATGGAGTTTGTTGCGCGCCCCTGGTGAGTAGTTTTGGCCTTTGTGGCGTCAAGGTCGGGATGAGTCAAACAAACCTCAACGTTATGAATATATGACTTGATTGAGTAGGGGAAACATAATCCTCATCGTTATGATTTGATCCTTCTTTTGGATTCTGATGCTTTAAAATTAGCAGTTTGCTCAAGAAAAAAAAATAGCCATCTTTAATTCAGGCATAAAAAAACGTATTTAGGAATAAAATTGTATATGTAGAATAATAAATCCACATGGTTGGTCACAACTTAGTTGGGCTTAAATTTATCTTAAATATAAGACATCCATGTATTTTATATTTTTATATCTCATGGTTATCTTTTCTTTTAAAAAAAATTAATTACCCAACTTATAAACTAAAATATAATCCTAGTTATATGAACTTATCTATAATATAATTTGTATTACAACTAATTCTTATATTAATGACTACAGTCAGTAATATTATTGGGAAAATGGCAATTAGGTCCCACTAAAGGGAATTAAATACAAAAAGGTCTCTTGAAATCATGAAATTATTTTAAAGTCTCAAAATTTTTTTGCATTAAATTTTTTTTGTTTAATTACCAAATTACCCTTCTTTTCTTTTTTAAAGTTTGCATTGACAATTGAAAGAGTAGTGGTTGACAACTCAGGGTGCAATGATTGACAACTATCGCGGCTGGTTTGACAACTTTTTTCAGTATATCACATCATAAGTTGTCAAACTAGCCGCGATAGTTGTCAATCCTTGCACCCTGAGTTGTCAACCACTGCTCTTTCAGTTGTCAATGTAAAGTTAAAAAAAAAAGGGTAATTTGGTAATTAAACAAATAAAATTTATTGCAAAAAGGTCCCTTGAGACTTCAGAATAATTTCATAATTTCAAGGGACCTTTTTGCATTTAATTCCCTTGCGTGGGACCTAATTGCAATTCTCCCAATATTATTACTACATATATAAAGCTATTAATAGGGATCAAGCTAAACCCCGAGGGGTTAGGTCAGCTGGCTGGGGCTGTCCTAGCTTAACCACAGGTCTCGAGTTCGAGCTGTGGGAATGCAGCACCCTGAGGGGCTAGAGGGCACCGACCGAAAGGTTCCTTGCAAGCCCTCGATCCGGATTAGTCTGGGGACGTTGTCACGGCTGAAAGACGCCTATTTCCCTGGGATACCGGAGGAGAAATCCAAAAAAAATAGGGATCAAGCTAACCCGAAAGGTGAATGGCAGAGTTTGGAAAAGCAGAGCTCAATTTTTTATATGTTATTAAAAAATTATTTATAAGTCATTCTAAATAAATCATAAGTAAGTTTAAATAGATTAGCTTGATAGAAGAAAGGTTTTGTTTGGAAAATTCATGAATTTAAATTAATCCAAACTAAAGACAAATAATTATTATAAAACATTTGAATTACAAGATTTATCTATTTCTAATTACTTAGCAAAATCTTATTATTTTTAAGTGAGACTTGTTAGCATATACTACATCCGATCCTAATTATAAAAGCTAGTTAACTAATTTGAGAAGATTAAGGAAATAAGCTAAGTTAGTTATTTGTAATAAACAAGTATTTTTTTTTATAAAATATTCTTGTTAATCAAGTGTGTTGGCTAAAACTATCATTATTAGAATGACCACCTTAGAAAAAAAATACATAAATATTAGAGACAAAGTATATTGGAGTCTTATATTTAGGATCAAAATAAAAATCAAACTAGATCTTATATTAAGAACCAGAGATAGTATATTTTAATAAAATAATATTGTGATTTTTTCCCTTATCCATTGGTCAGTCGTGTCAAAATCCTGTCTAAATTTGGTTCTCATAAAATCTAATTTTTCAAATAAATAAATACTACATGCAGTCCTTAATATAATACTACTTCTGGTCTAATCATAAGATATTGTTTGTAGACTATAAACTAAATCTTATAATTAGGACCGGAGGTATTAACTAGTTATGGTTAAATTTGGTCTTAGATATAAAAGCTTAGTCACTTTTATCTCCCATATCTATAGTGTTTTTTTTTTTAAATATCTCTATTAGTTGTAAGAAATTCCTACTATAGAATAAGAATAAATTCAATGTATATAATTAAAAATGGTAGTTTAAAAAAATTAATACACATTTGTTACAATTAATTGACTTAAATGAAATTTTCAATCTTTTCATGTTAATTATCTAGATCTTATACTGAGTACTGAATGTAGTATCTAATAACCTGTTTCTGATTGCTTATCAACTCTGGTATCCAGTTTATTTATTGAATTCAATGTTGTGCTTTCAAAGTTGATATATATTTCCGACTTGATTTTTGTTAAGATGCATTTTTAAGTGATATGTAGTGTAATTATTTTTTCCATCAGCCACTCCAATTTAACTGGCACGTAACTTTTAATAATAATTTTTTTATTCCCGTTGCATTTCATAAAATATCAGAATTAACAAATTACGAACGTTGATTCATTTGATTTGGTGACATCTGGGATTAGTAATCTATTTTTGAATTGCAAAATCTATTTATAAACCCTAATTATCTTGAAAAATCCAATTGTACTTTGAAATTGACTTATGTTAGCATGCTTTATATATATATATATATATATATATATATATTTTAATGATAGTATAATTTAACGATATCAATCACATGGGTATAAAATCCTCTTAACAATAATACTCTAGAGAAGGAGCTCCTTTCCGCTGGAGGAAAAACGGAGTTCCATTCACCCCCTTGATAATGATTATTTTGTTAATTTAATCGATAAATTGCACTCTGTTCATTTAACTCGAGGTGTGAAATTCAGTTAGTGCCTTTTAGCTCAATCCCATTACAAGCTTACAATAGTAATCATAATTGCCTTCGGAATTTAAATGTGTGATTATTCTCTAGTTTGGTAATAAGATTTATCAGGATAAAAATTGTTACTTTTGGAATTTAATATAAAAACTAATTTGATTTTTAATTTGTTTCTAAATATAAGATCTCAATTTATTTTATATATCATATTTATTCATTTTTTTCAATATAGTATTTGTAGTAGTTGTCTGTACATGTTAAATGTTTTATTAAATGATAGTTTTAACTAATACATATGATTAATAAGGGTATTTTAGAAAAAACAATTATTTATTTTTTTAATAAATAACTAACTTAACTAATTTTTTTTAACTTACTCAAATTAGCTAATTAACTCTTATATCAAAGATTGGAAGTAATATTATCAAAAATTTGACAATTACCATTCACACCTCTCAACACTCGTTATCACTCGCTGTAACTTTGACAAGTTCAATTTGGTCTTTAGTTTCTTTTGTCATTGTTTTGATTGTCTCCTTCCAACACTGGCCGCCATGTGGCCACCTTTGCCATCGCCATCTTCACCACCAGCGCCACCACCTCTACCACCATCCCACGCCCTCCATCATTGTCGACGCCTCCGCGACCACCCCCATCATTGTTGCTATCATCGATGTTGCCTTCAACATTGGCTCCCCAACCCCATCACCTCTGCCTTTTCTATCGTTGTTGTAGCTACCGACATTGTTTTTGTTGCCATTGCGGGCACCATCGCCGCTCTCAGAGACAATAAATCTGTAAAGAAATGAGCTTTTTTTTCTTCTCTTTGTCTTGCTTTTTTAATAGATGGGTATTATAAACTTTTCATTATTATTTTTGTTTGATTGAATATAACAAATAATTTTTCACTCAACCTTCTTAATAACGTACAAAGCATATTGAGGCATGTTTGTTGAGAAAATAGGCATGTGCTGGTCAATTAAATTTCCTGGGTAATGAAGGATATTCGCAAGGGGAAAAAATCATCGATGCATATTACTACTATAAAATTATAATCACCAGCACTGTCAGCAAATAGGAGACATTGGGTTTTCTTATGTATACAATATGGTTCACAACTTTGCTGTTTTCTTCATTATCCAACAAATTAAAAGTAAAAATTGTCACTCCTTGCAAATGCAAAGAGAATTATTCTATTTGCATCTAGAAGCTTATGCATATAAAAAAAATAAGTGTTTTTTATAATTACTAAAAAATGATTTTATATTTTCTAATCAAGTCTAACCAATTCAAATAGATTTTTTTGTTTGGTCCAAACAATTCAAATAGATTGACCCGCAATAAAATTATATTTTTTCGCTTAATTCAGATTTAGAGGGAGGGGCATTCAAAAAGTGATGAAAAGAACAGAATACAAGGAGGATTCTGTCATGGGCCCAGGAAGAAAAAGGCTTCGGCCCCATCCATGCCACCCCACTGCATTCGCACTTAATATAAAAATTAATTTGATATTTAATTTAGTTTTACATGTAAAATTTTATTTTATTTTTTATTTTTTTAAAAGATAGTTCTTGTAATAGTATACATGTTAAATATTTTATCAAATAATAGTTTTAACTAATATGTATAATTAATAAAAATATTTTAATAAAGACAATATTTTTTATTATAAATAATTAACTTAACTAATTTTTTTTAGTATAATCAAATTTAGTCAACTAACTCTTATATTAAAGACTGAAAATAATACTCCTTTGGTCCTTAATATAAGAAATGTTTAACTAATTTGATTAAAGTAAAAAAGTTAGGTAAATTAGTTAATTATAAGAAATATGACGTGTTTTTCCTAAAACACCATAATCATTTTTTTTAATATCCTTTTTTCCTCTTCTACTTATTTATGATTGAGAGAGTATCCATAGGGGTAAGTTAGAAAAAATTGATAAATATAATAAATATGTCTTATATTTAGGACCAAAATCAACTTAACAATTAGGTCCTATATTAAGAATTGGATGAGAATTATTTATCAAGACAGCTGTTTGAATAGAATGCTCGCCTATGGGAAACTTGTCCATCACAAAAAAAAAAATTTTTTTTACAAAAACTAAACAAATATGGAACGATATTGGATTGTGTAGAGTTAATCTACGACCTGCTTGAAGTGTCCTCGTTCTTCAAATAAATGTTACTCTTAATCTGATGCATTACTGACCTTGAAAATTAATAAGGGCAAAACTATGAATAAAATTTTAATACACTTTAAAATTTTTATTTTAATAGATACTCCACTAGGTCTTATATATAAGCTTCAAGTAATTGAATCATACTACTTCTGGTCGTATTAAAAGTTAGTTGATTAGTTTGAGAAGATTAAAGAAAAAAGTTAAGTTAGTTATTTTGTAATAAATATGTGTTGTCTTTCCTAAAATATTATTACTAATTAAGTGTATTGGCTATAACTATTATTATTAGAAGGACTATCTTGAAAAAAATACATAAATATGAAAGACAAAGTGGATTGAGGTCTTATATTTAGGATCAAAATAAAAATCAAACAATGTCTTATATTAAGGATTGTAGTTAGTGTTTAATAAATTAACAATTAAAATTAGTTAAAAATATTAGATAGATCCTAAATGTATTTTTTTTTCAAATTTGTTTTTATTTACTAAGAGAATAAATGAGGGAAGCAATATATGAAAAATGACAAAAGAGAATATATGTGGGTAAATTAATGAGAGAAAAGAAGTATTAAATACAGGGTAAAATAAAAAAATAATAATAAATGTTAAGATAAACTTAAAAATAAAGTTTATATTCTGGATAAGATTCCTCTTCGAAAATAAAGTTTATATATGAGATTGGAATAGTATGAAATATGAAAATATAATATTTTTATAACAAAAACTACGAAAGAGAGATATGCACTGTGCATCCCGACGTGGTCCATGGTGTTTACTGTGCCATCCAAATCCAATTTCTTATCTCCACAATAATATTCGGGGCCGGCTATGTAAATTTCTCCATCTTACACGTGGCTCGTTTTTTTGGGTATGTGCTGCTCACTACATTTCTTCCCCCACCCCCAACCATTACATTTCTACCGTTGTAATTTTATTCTATGCAAAATTTTATCATTATGACTAGCTTTTAAAAAATATAAAGATGAAAGACAAGATGTATGTTAAGAAGATATTCACATAAAAATTTAGATTTTTTACGTATCATATTTTATGAACATATGAATATGGGAAATATGGTTTAATAAACAGAGAAGAAACGTAATATTCCTCCATTTCTAAATATGGTTTAACATATACTCCTCCGGTCCTAATTATAAGACCCAATTGACTTATTTGAGGAGATTAAGGAAGTAAGTTAAGTTGGTTATTTATAATAAATAAGTGTTGTTATTCCTAAAATATCCTTGCTAATTAAGTATATTGGCTAAAATTATCATTATTAGAAGGATTATCTTGGGAAAAAATGCATAAATATAAGAGAGAAAATGGATTGGGTCTTATAATTAGGACCAAATAAAAAGTCAAATTGGGTCTTATAATAAGGACCGGAGGAGTATATATATAATGATTTTATATTTAAAATCAGATGAGTACTAATTTTTTTCAGGCGTCGGGAGGGGACCGTCTAGCAAAATAAAATAAGAATTAAGAATGATCTAAATTCATTAGGAAAATTCGCATAAAGACAAACTGGTTGGTAATCAATTATCGACAATCAAGTATCAGACCGTTAAAATTTTGCTTATAAATTATAAATAACATCTTATAATTAATAATATTAAAATTTGATTAATAAAATTTTCGTATAAAAATTGTATTTGCCTGTACCTTTCTCTCGCAGATTCTTTGTTTTTTTTCCCAATAAAAGATTCCTCAATATCTTAAAAGGTTGCGGATGATGCAGGGATGACAAGATGGCCGACCAACTTGTAATAATTGTGATAATTGTCATCAGAATACATAAATAACAGTGAAATGGATAATCTCACAAAGCAGTATGAAGATAACGTCAGTGTCACGATTTTTGTCAGCTTTTGAGCGATTAAAGAACTGAAGTGCAGTCCGTGGGTCTGTATCCCTCTAGGGTCTCTGCCATTTCCATCCCCTCTTCACCCAGCCGCCTCACCGAACCCTTTCTTAACTGTGCTATCTCTCGCAGCAGGTTTGATTCTTTTTTAATCGTTTTTGGCTCTCAATCATTCTCAATCTTGATGTTTCTGCTATTTATGAAGCTGGCTTTAACTGGTAGAAATTTTCGTTTGTTCTTATCCTTTCTTCGTGGTCTCTTTCTGTATCGTTTTCTCTGACTATATATAGCGATTTTTCATTGAGGATACTGGTACTTGGATAATCAGCTAATTATAGATCTGATCAGCAGAAAATTCGAATGAATCGGTTTGAAATATTTTTGAAATTTGGGCTGATCATAAAGCCTGTGGTTCCCTGCCTCAGATGTTTTAGTTTTGTTAATCGTGATCAACTGGGAAGGATCTTTCATGAGTCCACTTTAAGGTTATTGCTATAATTTTGATGCTGATATGTGGGCTTGGTGTTGTGTTAATGGCCTACCTACCTGCCACGTTGTGAATTATCTGGACCCGTTTAGTTCAATGGCATTGAACCAAACTTTTTTGTTCACGTGAAGGCCTTCTGACTTCTGAGGCTACCCGTGACCCCCCTCTCTCAAGAAAATTGAGATTCACGTAAAAGGGAAAACTGTTTGTCTGAACATTTTACTCAGTTCGCCCATTGGATTTTACACCTTCTGCTGGCTATTGAGTTCTATAGTTTTTTTGTTAACATCTTTTCAACTCCTTGAACGTTCCCATTCTTCAAAGTTGGAATTTGACTTCTCTGACTGATGTCAAACTAGCCCAATCAATCCTCAGGGTTATTTAGTTGTTCCATGGGAATCCTTTCGTGGTAATTATGAGCATGACCTGTTAGATGGCTTCCTCATGAATTGCGCTAGTGTTACCTCTCCAAACCCCTGCTATGCTATTACCTACCTTTTTGCTTATTGTTTCTCCTTTTGGTTGGCGGTCACATGTTTCTTTTCACCTGAAAGATGGAATATGTAGTATAAAATTTTGCGTGAACTGGCTGATTTGCACCGACTTGGTGTTTTTGTAAGTTCATTAGTGAGCCGTGGCTAATGCATCATAAATATATAAATTATATGATGACTAATCTCTCTTTCTATTAGGCAGTTAAAATGCAAGGAGGACTGCGATCAATTTTGTCACAGGGCAGTGTCATAAAAAATGCTGTTCTGCAACGAGTTCGCATGGTGAATCCCCTGTTGCAGCCAGTTGCCTCTTCACGGTTTGAGTCTGCTGCACCTGCTCGCATGGAGGAGCATGGTTTTGAAAGCACCACAATTGCAGACATCTTAAAAGCCAAAGGCAAAAATGCAGATGGCTCCTGGCTTTGGTGCGCTACTGATGACACTGTGTATGATGCTGTTAAATCGGTATGCATATTAGATGTTACAACACTGCAGTTATTACTATGATGACGTGGTTGGTGTTTGAACAGGATTAAGTTGTTTGTCTTAATTCTCTATAACAGATGACTCAGCACAATGTCGGAGCATTGGTTGTTGTGAAACCTGGAGCAGAAAAGGCAGTTGCAGGAATTATAACAGAAAGAGGTACTTGCTATGGGATTTGGATATGTTATGTATAGATAACATAGGTACATTAGACGATGTTGGCCTACTAGGCTATCTTCTGAAAAAATGTTTAGGATTTTCCATAATCAATGCCAATGAAATTTGCGATGGAACATTAGAATAGGAGGAATAGCAGAGTCGCTACTGTGGGAGAATAACTTCCAGTCAAATGCCTCTTTCATGCCTGCAAATGCTCAGAACCAAATAGCAGGTCTTGATTTTTGAGAAGACAATCAATCAAGGGACTCAAAAAATGACATCAGTTAACATAACTGGGGCAAAATGTGTCACTTATTGTATGTGGCGTTGCACATTGTTCAGACTCAACCATGGCGGGTTTTTGAAGTGGATTTTTCATCGGATCATTTCACTGAAACCTTTTGTCATCTTCTTGTCCAGATTACCTCAGGAAGATCATTGTGCAGGGCAGATCATCCAAATCCACCAAGGTCGGAGATATCATGACTGAGGAGGTAAAAGCTCACGTCGTTATCATCTGGGACAATATCTTTTTCTGCCGCATAGATTTCTATTCTGTCAATCTTGGCATTCATGAACTCTATACAACAACAACAACAACAATCTTGGCATTCATGAACTCTAAAATTTTTAAATGGTTTCTGTAGAATAAACTCATCACAGTCACCCCTGATACCAAAGTTCTGCGAGCGATGCAACTGATGACAGGTATGTAGTTGTTGTGTAGTCTTAAACGGGAATACTATGAAAGATCATAAACTTGGAACCTGGGAAGTGAATCATGTACCCTTTTTCATTTTTTCCAGATAATAGAATCAGACACATTCCTGTGATTAACGAAAAGGGGATGATGGGCATGGTATCCATTGGGGATGTGGTTCGTGCTGTGGTGAGCGAGCATCGTCAAGAGCTTGACCGCTTGAATGCTTATATACAAGGAGGATATTAGATGATGATGATGAAAAGTTGAAATCTTGAGGTTCACTTAAGATCTGAGTTATAATTATCTGTAGTAAGCTTGGATGCTTTGTAAATGTGATGCTGGCATTGTGTCGTATGGCTTTGAGAGTCGTCTTGTTTGTTTCTTTGTAAGTTTGTATGTCTGGTTTCAGACACACTCTGCCTGAGAAGCATGCTAATAATGACTTGAATTTCTCCCCTTTTCTGTAATCTATAGTCTTTTTCTCCTCCAAACAAGATTCCTCGATCATTATAAGTATTGTTGCTTTATCCTTATCATATGAATCCACTCCAGGTGTCCTTCAGGAGCTTGGTTAAGACCGTCCTATCCTTATCATATGGGCTGTTGGGGCTAACAAAATTAAATGATCGCTTTAAAATGTTAAGAAACAACGGAAAGTTATTTTAAGCAACAATAAAACTGGAAAACAAAAATGACCGAAATTAAAATGAAAAATGAGCTAAAAATAAAAAAGTTGAAAAAACTATAAGAACTAAGAGGCAACGTGATGCATAAATCTTGCTTTTAACGGGAATGTATTTTTTTTAATAAATATTAATTCATATTACGCATATATTGTTAACCAGACCCGACAAAATTATATTAAAGCCATAACTCGCTGCCCATATGAGATACTCCTCCGGTCCTTATTATAAGATTCCATTTGACTTTTTATTTGGTCCTAATTATAAGACTCCAATCCATTTTGTCTCTTATATTTATGCATTTTTTTTCAAGATAATCCTTCTAATAATGATAGTTTTAGCCAATATACTTAATTAGCAAGGATATTTTAGGAATGACAACACTTATTTATTATAAATAACCAATTTAACTTACTTCCTTAATCTCCTCAAATAAATTAATTGGGTCTTATAATTAGGACCGGAGGAGTATAAATGAATCACTCTCGAGGCTTCGAAACCGCCACGATTTCGATCATCTATTGTGAGGCGCAGGGATTTTTTTTAAAAAAAATTTAAAATAAATAATATATTTTAAAAAGTAATTTTAAATTGTACTTGTCCTCTTAGCATTTTTATCGTGTTGTCCACGCTGTACGAGAGGGTGGGGGGTTCGGATATTAATAAGCGTGATCGAGTAACATGAAAGTTTTTCCTTGAAAAGGAGATGGTAAATCTGATTTCGTTTATAATCTCAAATTTAGTCTGTGTTCCTGTGACTAATTTTTCGGAAAATTTTATTGGGACCTAACTATCATTAATTCAATTACTTGGAATCTAGTCGGCAAAAAGAAAAACCATTAGTTGGAATCTAACCATCATTCTCCCCTCTTCATATCTGGGCAAGATAACGAGTTTAAGATTGCTTGTCAATGGTCGATATCGAACTTTAAAAACAGCCTTAAAAATTTGGTTCCTTTATTAATCAAGTTTGATGCGTACGTTTAAAAACTAGAATTAAAATTCTTGTTTGCAATAATTAAGCATGCGTCCATCAATTTGCATAAAAATAACTTCAGATTTTTTTCAGCTTTTTTTTTTTTGCCATCAGATATTTTTAGGGAGAATGACAGAAAAAGACTTTAAAAATTTGTGAAATTTCAAATCACATGTTTTCACATAAAGGTGTTGTTATTTACAATTCAATTGTTATCAGAATATATTAAAGTATAGTCATAAATCCTACTTTAGGATTGTGCAATTTTTAAGGTTTTTTTTTTTTGTCATTCTCTCTCTTTTTACCTTTATTTTCAAATAGAATGATAGAAGACATGTATTCTATATCTCTTCTCATTTTTATAATATTCAAAATTTTAAATTAGTCCAGTTCTTGTTAAAGCCAGAATTGAGATTGTTTGAATATGCATTTTCATCTATTTTATTTTTAATTAAGTGTATCGTCTTTTCTCACGCATTTTTTTTCATTATTTTTGTTTTTCTTCCCTCCCTTCTTATAAATAAGGACATATGTAAAAAATATTTTTTGATACATCGATACTTTTAACTAATGTTAACAACTTAAGTTTTATAATCCGATTATTCATGCTACCTTATAAAAAAAAAGACAAGAGGGAGCTCCAATTGTTGGCTTTTAGTGGAGACTAAGGGGGTGTTTGGCTTTTTTGCCAAACCATGGTTTGACAAAAAATTTGCCAAACACCCCCATATTTTTTAAAACCAAGGTTTTGCCTAACAAAACCTTGGTTTCAGAGAAGCTGGCGGGCGTAGCTTCTGAGGCAGCTCACGGAGGGAACAGGGGGGTAGTCATTCAGCACGCCGGGGGGGTAGTCATTCAGCGGGGGGCGGTAGTCATTCAGCACGCGGGGGTAGTCATTAGCTCAAGGGTACAATTATTTGGTAAAATAAATCATTTTTCTAAAAACATATTTATTTATTTTATTAATATATATACACACTAATTTCTTATTATTTGTGCCATATTTATTATGTTGTCAAAATATATATTATTAATAAATTTATTACTTCAAATAAACATATATTATGAAATATATATTATATGTAATTATCATTTAAACTTATGCCCTTTTTAGTAATTTCTACATATCAAAAAGCACTTCTGACAATAATTATCCAAACACTCTCACTTTATCAGAATCACTTTTCCAGAAAATCTATTCTTTCAAAATCTATTCTCTCCAGAATCTATTCTCCAGAAGCTATTCTGCAAACCATGGTTTTGCCTCATCCAAATACCCCCTAAGGAGGGTGTTTCCCATCTTTTTTATTTAATTAAATGCAGTGATCTAATTCTACCTAAATGGGCAGGGTGTGTTTGGGTGACACCCCAAACCATGGTTTGGGGACCCAAACCATGGTTTGGGGTGTCAATCACCCAAACACCCCCTTCAAAACCAAAACCATGGTTTTGGGTCAAAACTATGGTTTTGGAAAAAGCAAAATTTTTTTGCTTTTGAAGAAAAAAGGGAGAGTGTGAGAGCCTATATGATATGTATCTTGTTATTTTTTTTATAAACATATTTTTTGATAAACATATTTAATCTTATATTTTATAAATATATATACACATTAATTATTTATTAATTATATTATCTTATGTATTATTAATTATGTTGGTAAAAAATATATTATTAACAATTTTACTCATTCAAATTAAAATATATCATAAAATCTATTTTTTCTGTAATTATCATATTAACTTATGTCTTTTTTTTAGTAATTTGTATATATAAAAAGTGCTTCTGATAACAACTATCCAAACACTCTCACTTCTCAGAATCACTTTTTTACAAAATCTATTCTTCACAGAATCTATTCTCCCCAGAATCTATTCTCCAGAATCACTTTTCCAAACCACGGTTTGGTTTCATCTAAACACACCTAAGTGTGTTTTTCTTTTTTTTTGGTTGGGCCAAATAGCTAGCAGCTAAGCTAAGTATGATGTTTCCGTACTCGCTAAATATCTTTGCTTGACTTGCGCCATGCATCGGTCTAAACAAAATGTGCCTCGTTTATTGCGAAAACGAAAGGACTGTGTTGTGTATCCGAATTCATGGAAGGTATTCCAGCTCTGGTGAAAAAGAATGGCGTTAGCTTTACCACACGGTCCATACTGACCACCCCATCCCAAATAAAACAAACCCTAAAAAACAGTTTAGACGCAAAAATTAATAGTATCAAATTGAATTAAAATGTAGTCCAGTCAATCACTTCATTAATTAATTCATCAGTTTCAACTTCAAGTTCCAGCCGCAGTAAGCAAATGACAAAACCTATCACCCTTCTTTTTTTAACCGAGAAAGGAAGATTATTTATGCTCTGATATTCTCCCTCCGGTTCTAATGACTGAGAATAGTAAGATTCCATTTGTATATTTTTGGGCTTCTATTTCTTATTTTTTTCCTATGCATTTATTATTATTCTCTCTGCCCGCTTGCTCAGAACGCTCAGCCACCATTCCGCGTCTGCCGTTTCCGGAGAGGCTTTCCCATCTTTGAACCAAGCAGTAAGTAAATATGGGTTTTTACCCAATTCTCATTCATCTTCTCTCTGTGCGTGTTTCCGTTCCTCTGCTTCCTTGCTTCTTCTTTGTGCAGATTTTGATGCCAGGAGTGGCTGGGCTCTGTTTGACCAGTTGACCGACCCGAAGAACAGGAAAACTTTACTGTTTCGTCTATTATCTTGGTTATTGGTGGCTTGAAGGTCTGGGAATTGTGTTTGTTATGAGAAATGCCTACCTCTGTGCCCTATTTCTTGTCTTCATTTTTCTGACGGGGTTGGTTTGTTTTCCAAGAAATTCGTTCAGCTGAGTAAGGGAATTGTGGCAGTTATATTTTGCATGCGGCGGTCATGTTGTGTTAAAAATAATGTAAAATGGGTTAAACTACGGAAACTTGTTTAAACGATTTATTTCTTTTAGATAGAGTATTAATTTTTAGTTTTTCGATGGGAATCTCACCTACATTGCTGTATTCATGTTTCGGCAGACTTTGAGCTTAGCTAACAGTATATGGCGTCTTCACTCTTTGGCGCAGTTTGATATAGCAATTTCAACGAAGCGACCGGATGGCAATGACGTTTTCTTTTGGTTTCCCCTTTGGTTCAGTAGCGTCATATGACTATGCTAGTCCAAACAAAGAATTCCATTGGCTGGCATCTGTCCTCGCCGGTATCATCTCCTGTGTTATTGTAAGTGTAGAGAGCTGCTGATTAATATAGTGATGATTTTTGAGTAAATTTCTCAGCTTTGTGTAACAATGTCTAGATTAGCTAAAATGAGAACCCTCATCCCCGTAATGGCGGGGGAATAGAAGTAGGAATGACGTAAAATTTGAGCAGAAAAAGGAGGTTGGAGAGCCACATATGGCTTTTCTTGTGATGTCTAAATGGTGAACAGCTTTGCCCCTAATCAACTTATCTACGTGATCCTTATGGAATATGATTTCATATAGGTCAAATTTAGTTAGATGTATTCCTTTCCTTTCCTTCCTTTCTAAGATTATCCATCTGTTGCCATCAGAGCATGTTGTAGTGTTACAACACATTAGATGTGGAAAATTTCAATGGGGCTAAAGGTTGTGTTGTTCCCCCCTTCTTTTTATGCTTTGTAATACATAAATCGTTGAGTAACTTGAAAAAAGAAGATAAATGATCCGTCAGGTAAGGAATTCAACAGAATATACGAGAGAACAGACTAGTATCGTGGGAATTACTTCTAGTGTTAGAACTTTCTTATTTGCCAAATTGTGGGTGTTATTTTGGAAACCAGCACTCTTTGCGATAAAGCATAAAGTAATACCATTGAACCGTAATAACTTCTATAGGTTTGCAAATTTTAAAATATTTCTCATTTATCAACAAATGCTTCCTATATGATATAGGGTCAATATGTGGAAAGTTTTGGAAAGCATTAGGATTGAAATCGCAGTCGTAATGCTTTTGAAATAAGATTTCTTATTAATGGATTATAGATTTCCATGATGCCAGGAATCTATAACTTTCAGCAACTTTGACTCTTTCCCCTTTTCTTGAAGGTCTATAGATTAACGGCTCTTGTGAGCTCTCTGTTGTTTGAGGGATATCGCAAGTTGAGCAGTGCACAAAAAACTGAATGGAACAACAGGTGAAACGCCTTTACATAATGATTCCTGTTTTCATTGGATATGGATATATTTGAACATTCATATAAAGATTAACGTCTTTTGGAAAGCAGGGGGTTCTCAACAGTCCATGCTGTATTTGTATCATTTGCATCTATCTACCTCCTGATGGTGTCAGATATCTTCAATAAGGATTTGGATGACGAGCCAGTTATTAGTAGATCGTCTACTTTGTCAAATACTGTATTTGGGGTAAGTGGATGAAGATACAGGCAGGATTTGGTTGTTGATCTCATTTTTGCCCCTTGTATGTATCAATTTGGTTTATTTTTCGTCCATATGATTTGATGTAAGCTAGATTCTAAATTTGTGAAATTTATTGTGCGTTACATCTCTGCTGTTCTTCTCATTATACCTGGGCACTTGCCACATGTGACAACGACAATGTTGTTTTTTGGTCCATATGATTTAGACATTAGTCGATTTCTGAAATTTTAAAATTTATTTTACTTTACACCTTTACTGCTCGCACTAGATCCGGGCACATGCAGCATATGGCAATAGCAGAGGTAGGAAAGATGGGAAACTAATTTTTGCATACAAACGGTGCCCTGCTCAGTTGTGAATTGTGACCCATAGGGGTAGGCAATTGTTTTGTCATATAATCTGCTAGTTAGGACCCAAATAAAGAATGCCAAACGAACTGTCAGTTGTACTTGTTCCCATTGGCCTTGCGCTCACTTGGGATGTTGCACTCTGCTTACCCAGTTAGTTTTCTCAAAAGTGTTTTATTTTTGAGGTAAATAATGTCTGACATCCTTGATGCCTATTTTTGGTGTTTCTTTGAAGTGTGTGTATATTCTCTGTTTTATTTTGAAATGTATATTTGCTGACGAAGTTTTTTGAGTTCTATTGTAGTTTTCTTTTGTTTATGCATAGCAGGCTAATTCTCTATTTTCTATTTTCGTCATAATCTCTGCCTCTTTCTCAATTATGATATCTCTTGTTTTCTTAATCTCAATAATAAGTTTTTATGTTATTTGGCACTATTGTTATTGTTCGCCCTACATATATGACTTTTCATTTATGACATTGGCTTATTAGTTAATTTTTGCTTTTGTGTTCTTCCCTGTTTGCAGATTTCTATAGGTTATTTTCTATCAGATCTTGCAATGATTCTTTGGCATTTTCCGGCTTTAGGAGGGCTGGAATATGTAAGTGGATGAATAAAAGCTTGCTTGCTATCATTGATGCATTAGAGCTGAACCTGGTTTTTTAGACACATCATTTTACTTTTATGGTAAATGAACTCAATATCCTAATTAGACGATTTTCAAGTGGTAAAACAACTTTATTTATCCATATTTAGGTTCTACACCATGGACTGTCCATGTTTTCCATCATCCTCTCTCTACTAAGTGGTCAAGCACAGCTCTACATACTAATGGTTCTTTTTACTGAAAGCACTACTCCTTGCGTAAATCTAAGATGGTAATTCTGTTGCTCGGGAATCCATTTTCTTTCTTGCACCCTAGTCAACATTTTCTTAGTCGCTTATTACATTAATTACCTGCGCAGGTACTTGGATAATGCTGGTCTTAAGAACTCAAAACTCTACATTGGGAATGGCATTGCATTGTTCCTTGGGTGGTTGGTACTGTCTAAATACTCTTGATCTTAATTATTCTCATGAAAAAATGGCTTCATTTTGGTAATTCTTTTTGTAAATTACTCTTTTTAATTCTGGATGAGTCATATTCAGGAGAAAATGACAACAAATATTATCACCAGGATTCTGAGAAAAATTAAAAATTGAATAATGAATGTATGGCTATGAAGCCATATATGGACATTTTCCTTTATTCTCTACTCGTTTATTTGGGAAATCGTTTACAAACTATTTGGTGGTTCTCCTGAGCTTAGAGGGCTTCTATAAGATATTGATTATGCAGTCTTGGATATGACAGTGTACTAGGAAGTATATTATCATCCAGCTAACCGATTTTGTGACCTCACTTAGTGGGATAGTGTGTGTTGCTGCATAATGGACGCAAGTGATAATGGTTGCACACGGCCATGATCTCTTGCTGTTTCTGAGTACCAGTGGCTATAATGGAATTATGGAACTGTTTTCTGGGTAGCTCCAATCTAGTTCTTACTATGCTCTGTAATGATTGTGCTGCAGTTAGCGAGGATTATTCTGTTCATCTTCTTTTTTATCCACATGTGGATCCATTTCGATGAGGTAATTAGCTTTTGCTTTCTGATTCCCAAATATGTGTCACAGATGTATCCCGTGCCTGAAGCAATTATCAAACTTCTAATTTTGTCATTATCAGGTCAAGACGGTCTTTCCTCTCGGCTTTTACAGCTTGCTTGTGGTGCCTCCTATGTTGGCAATAATGAATATATTCTGGTTCTGGAAGATTGCCAAGGGATTGGTTAAAACTCTTTCCAAAGCAAAACACAAGAAGTGAAGCCGTCCATGCATATTACTCCAGGACTTGTACATCCCTATTAGTTATTGCTGTATTACTATTTAGATGGCCATTTATTGATTGACATTCGCAATCTACATTATTTGCTCAAATGTGATGATAAACTGCACATGGGTTGTCCATATTAAATTGAAAATTACTTTTGATTGACCAAGTAAGTCTACTTTGGGTTGGACCATTACATTCTTGCGAACAATGGCTGCAAGCAAAGGAAGATTCGAAAGCATATGAAGGGGTTCGTGAAATCCTATTTAATTTTGATTATTTACTCAAATATATGCTTAATCAGGTGGTACATCTCCGTACTACAGGACCCCGGGGTATGAGCTTTATTACAGACTGGATACAAATAGTGAAATTTTCTGTAGATTTTATAATAATATTAATGCTGATTGATGTATTTGATTTGCTACGAGTCTGGCTGTGTGTCAAGGTCATCGGATGACCTATAAGTGCCCCTTGGTCAATTGGGTTGGTTGAGATGGTTTGAGAGCACCAATTTCTTGGCGCGTTTCATTTATTTCATGGTTGGGCGTTAGACTTGGACGTGGGGTGGGTTTCTTTTCCTGATGTGAGCACTTCTGCTTTCCGCCAATCGCACTTAGGTTTAGTCCCATTTCAAAACCTCACCCACAAGTAAAGAAAAGTGTTCAGATCTTCAGTGCACTTTCAAATTTTGACGTTGGCTTCACGTGTCAAAGTTGTTGGGTTTCATGACATGAAAATGCGCCTTTACAGTAAGTGTAGGGTGAGATGTAAGCAGATTTTTTTTTTTTGGGGTTTAAAGTATGAGTATCCTTCTATAAGAGTCAATTTTATTTGAATCACTGTCGAGTATTAAAAGTAGACACTTTTCCTAATAGAGATTTGAATATCAGTCCGTTATGTGGTAACAGACTAGCCTATAGGAAGAAATTAAAAGAAATTTAAAGGTGCGATCTTATAGAAATCAAATTGAATCTTGAATAGAATGAGCAATGTGACATTACTCATAGATTTACCTGTTATTTATATTTGAATGTGTTGTGAGTTTTGTATATGCTATGAAGTAATTCACCTCTTTTTTATTAAAGCAACGAACCGCAAAAATTTTGAAGTTTTTGACCTTGCAAAAATTTTATAAAGTTTGGGCATTTGGAATCAAACTTTTTTTTTCCTAGACCTTTATGGCTTTATTGTTATAGTTTCTATAAATTACACTCCTCGTGGATTTAAACGAAACATAAATTGGTGCACGGAATCCGACTTTGTTCACGATGCAAAGCATGTCACATACTTTAACCATTATTTCTATGTAATCAATAGATTATTCATAATTCTATATTTATTTTGTAAAGGGCTTAGCTTAGTTTAGAGTGCAATCAAGCTGTTGAAGATTCGCGGAAAGTTGGCAAAAACAAAAAGGCTGCAAAAGGAAAAAAATATCGGTTTGAATTTTTTTGTTTTTTTTTGTTTTTGCCATCTGGTTTGGATCCCATTGTGCTGATAAAACTGTAAAGGTGCGACGTTGTGTGAAAATAAATTAAGTATATTATTTCCAAGTTAGTTTTAAAAATTCAAAATGTTTCCCCATGATTAAGAAAAATTTTGAACCTTTTTTGGTCAAATTTTTTTTGAACCTTATGTTCTGTTAAAATTTAATAACTTTTTAAATGTGTCCCTATTTGATATATAAATTTTAATAATACTTTTTTAAAAATAATTTACATAACATTAAATTATAATTAAAATTATATATTCATTAAAATTAATGATTTATAATTAGAAAAAATACTTTCTCTGTATCCTATAAATAGGATTAGAAAAGTACTTGATTTGGGAAAGGTTGTGACCTTCAAAATTTTTGCCCGTTACTGATGATAGGCAATAAACAACAAATTTATCCTTTAGTCTTTAATATAAGACCTAAACTAATTATTAGAAAGAAAGTTAGATAAATTAGTTAATTGTAAGAAATATGACATGCTTTTAATCTTAAAACATTATAAATTAATATCCTCTTCTTGATTATGGTGAGTAGGAAGTATTTATAAAGATAATTTAAGAAAAATTGATAAATATAAAAATATGTCTTATATTTAGTACTAAAATTAACTTAACAATTAGATCATGAATAGGAGGAGTACTTTATTTAAGAAAGATTGTGACCTAACCCCAAAGTTGGCCAATTACTGATGATAGGCAAGAAATAACATGTCAATATATAATTACTCGTGATTTACTTAAAATAGTGAAGTACTATCTCCGATCCTAATTATATGAACTAGTTGACTAATTTAAAGAGATTAAGGAAAGAAGTTAAGTTAGTTATTTATAATAAATAGGTGTTGTTTTTCCTAAAATATCCTTGCTGGTCAAATGTATTAGCTAGAACCACTATTGTTAAAAGAATTACATTAGAAAAAATGCATAAATATAAGAGACAAAGCAGATTAGAGTCTTATATTTAGAATCAAAATAAAAATTAAATAAAATCTTATATTAAGTAGCGGAAGTAGCACTTTATAAGCTTTTTACATACCCATATAATACAGAATCAGACTCCCTCGTTTTTTAGTTTCACACAAATACTACTAGTCGGTCGAATTAATTTGTGCATGGAATCCAATATAATATTACCTTCGGTCCTAATTATAAGAGTCAGTTGACTAATTTGAGGAAATTAAAGAAGTAAGTAGAGTTAGTTATTTGTCCTAAATAGGTGTTGTCTTTCCTAAAATATCCTTACTAATCAAGTGTATTGATTAGAACTATCATTACTAGAAGGGTTATTTTGAAAAAATATATATAAATATGAGAGACAAAGTAGATTAGGATCTTATATTTAGGATCAAGATAAAAATCAAACAAAATCTTATATTAAAGACCGGAGGTAATAATAGATGCTGACATGGTCCCAATTCAACGAGGAATTACTTTTTCTTTCTCTTATTAGTTTTTTTCCTAGAAAAATGAAAGCGTGTTGTTAAAAATCTCTGGCGTGGACAAAGAGCCGACAACCGAGAATATCGTGCGGTGGCCGAGTGCATAGGTCGGCAATGTAACTCCGTTTAGAGCCTTTCTTTTGACCTGAACCTAGTAATAACCGTTAACGACCGTTAAGAAGAACGTTAGCTCCGCCAAGGTCCCCGCTTTCCTTTCCTTCTGGCGCATGTCCTTCGTTGCGTTCCGCGCAATTGCTTGGGTCTTCTACTTGGCCTTCTTTGCCGTGTTCGTTTCCTCTTTGGGGTTTTTAATGCTGCAATGAATTTGCACAGAAGTCCTGAATGAATAATGTTACAAACTCAATAATTTCACTTTCTTTTCCCATTGAACCGGCTTTCCACATTGTTGCCTGGTTTCTTATTTGCTTCCTCTTTCGATAGCTATTTGCTTTAGCTTCCTTGTGACTGAAGAGTGGAGAGACAATGAACAGAGGGGAAGCAAGAAGATGGGGGGTGGTTAGATGAATATAGGATTTTTATAGTGAAGCTTGTACCCGGAGGCTTGGATTGAGTTTTATCCATATAAAGTTCAGACTTTTTCTCTGATTTTTCTTTCTTTTCTTTCTCCCGTTCTTCTTCGGAAATGTGGAGTCGATTGACATGGTGGTGTACCAGCGGTGGTATTGTCTCTTTGAAGCAAAGGGCGTCTGCGATTGTCAAAATCGGCCATGGTATTGAAGGGAACCTTCATCCCCTTCATTTTCCATCGTTAGGTTTGAGGTTCTTTACAGTAGAATGTAATGGAACTGGAGGAAAAGCAGCATCTTTATCAACTTTACTCAGTGACATCAAACGGGGCATATCTTCATCGGCTTCGGTTTCCTCACCTTCTGCGAGTGACTCATCTGGGAATGGCGATAACAACGACAACAAAACTGGTGTTTCGCAAAATATAGATTCTATAACCTTCGCGGAAGTTAGGAGGCTTATGAGATTGGTGGATGTAGAAACCCTCAAGAAGAAGCTTGGTTTAGAGGGGAAGGAAGTTATTCCATACTCGGAGCTTCTTCAGACATGTCAGAACACGGGTATTGCTAGGAATCATGCTGAAGCTACCGCTTTTGCTCGGGTTCTTGATGAAGCTGGGGTTATACTTCTTTTTCGGGACAAGGTCTATCTTCATCCCGACAAGGTAAGGCTTGCACTATTTGATTGGTCCCCTTTTCCTTTTTCAATTTTGCCTACCAACTTGTGTCTGTAATAGAATATACATAGGACTACAGTGTATATGCTTAGCGTAGGAATGGAACCTGTGTTTCTGGGTCTTTCAATAAGCATGATTAGATGCAAGTCTTTCGCCATAAGCGTGTGTATTTACTTTACCTTTCTTTTTAGTGAGGGGGCCCTTTAAGTTGTTTGTTATTGCTGCAAACCACGAGCTAATAACGGTCCCATTGGTGTTTTATGGATTGTGAGATTAATTGTTTGAGTCTTCATCCAAGCTTTTTCACTCATTAGATTGAAACCGAGACCTTGCCTTCAATAGGCTCGCCAGTGCTTGTTTTGATGGAAGTGTAGTTCCCAAAGTCAGATCTGAATCAAAAAGCTAAACCTGCTAGCTTTAAACCTAGTGTTCGTACCTAAGACCATGCCTCCATTAAGGCTGGGGAACTATTACGTTGTTTTACTGGTCACTATGTCTTCAACAACGCATCTGAGCGACAGAAAGATTCAGGGAGATTGGAGTGGCAGTTTGTATTTCCTCCTCCTTTCATAATAATGCCTTGGTTTTCATAACTTCAGAACTGTGATTACTTCCCTGGGGTGTGTTTGGCAGTGTACCATCCAATTTTGAGTTATCTGCCTGTCTAGCGCAAACTGTGCGGTGAATCCTGGCTGTAATTGCCTGGATGGTAGCACATCATTTGAGTCAAGTGTCTTTATTTTCGTTGCTGATATTAGTTGTAACTCCTGAAGTAACATGCAATTCCATCGTTTTCAAAAGTTTGAGCTTGACTGATTCATCTTCTGTTGCTTGTTCCAATTTTTATGGGCTCAGGTTGTTGATCTGGTTAGAAGAGCAGTACCACTGGCACTGACGGCTGAGGATGACCCAATGAGGGAGGAGTTAAAGAAGCTGCAAGAGAAGAAAGAAGACATTGATGTGTTGGCACATAAGCAGGTCCGGCGCATCCTCTGGTCAGGACTCGGCTTTGGCATTGGTTGCGTTGGGTTCTTCTTCCGGCTAACATTCTGGGAATTCTCATGGGATGTGATGGAACCCGTTGCATTTTTTACAACAACAACTGGCTTGATCATAGGCTATGCCTACTTTCTCTTCACTTCAAGAGACCCTACATACCAAGACTTTATGAAGAGGCTCTTCATTTCAAGGCAGAAGAAGCTTTTCAAAAAGCAAAATTTTGATGTTGAGAGATTCCAAGAGCTACAGATAAAGTGCAAAACACCTCTAGATTGCAATAGCACTCTAAAAAACAGAGTAGGACTGGACTTGGATCTGGAAGATGCCTTGAAGTAAGGATTAACATTAATTTTCAGGTAGGTTTATACAATTCTTTTGGAATATACCAGAAATAACCTTAACCTTGTTCCCCATCTATTTTCATGTCGGCGGGGAGAATTTCACCTAACTTTGCTGTTCTGCATATAATTATATATTTCCTCCATTGTTCCTTAGCAAGGATAAGAAGACGCATTGCATTCTCCTCTTCTTTCCTTAAAGCTTGGTAACTTCTTTTATGCTGTCATTTTGTCAATGAACACTCGGAATCCATTGTTTAATGATATTGATTATAGCTTCAAGGGGGTGAGCTGTTTTTTCCCCCCTCAGCTCTAAATTTTTACTTGCCAGAGGGTTAATTTTCTGGGAAATAATTTTAAAACTTAATTGTCTTTAACATGATTTTTAAATTTAATGATTTAATTGATATTTGTATTTGATATTCCTAATACATGAAATGCATGTATATTTTTTTAAATCAAGTCTTTTTGTTCCCTTGGAAGGAGGTGACAGTACTAAAATCTATTAATTATTAAATTGACATGCTCTTCACTGATACATACTGTCAAGGATGAAAAGCCACAATAACCCGAGTAATCTGATTAATCTGCTGCACAAGAAACGGTTTTCACATTAATTAAACATGTTTTGTTTACATTAAATGAATTCGTTTTTTGTAACATACCACATTAATTGAATTCTAAAAAGTAGATTACTTTATCAACCATGCGGTTCGTCATGAATTCCGTGTTATATATTGACTTTTACATCGAAAGCATGTTATATCCGAGGTGTGAATTGTTTAATGAGCAATCTTGCGTCTGCTTCCTCATCTTCTCCACCCATCAAAGCGGATTCTTATTCCATGTAACGACTGCTCATTATAAAAGCTCAATATCTCAATCACCCGAAAGAAGACCTTGATACTCTTTTTTAAAAAAATAATTGTAATTGATTCCAAGTTAGTTATACGATTGATGATAAGCTGGGTAAATTAGTGCCCACATATTCAAACATTCTTTGATTAATTAGAAGTATTTCTTAAAAGGCTTTACTTTGAAATTTCAAAAACGAAATAAAATAAAACAACAATTTACACATCAGATCTGCAAAATGGCTAAATGTACTCAAGCATCCGCGTCAGCAAACTTGTTAGTAACATCGCACAGCAACATCATTGAAATACAGAAGCAATATTACTAGGAATAAGCTGATGCACCTAATCACATAGGCCTGTACATGCCATTTTTCTTATAGATCAAAAACTCACCCTCGAGGTAATTCAGCAGTTCCACCACAGAATCATCACTGGATCCATTGAAGTTCTCCAGAATATCATTCAATGTAGCCTGCAGCAAATAAACATCCGCATTTTTACTTAGCATGAAAACTAAACAAATCTAATCAAAGGCAAAATTGAGTTGTAACTGACCCCTTCATGGTTCTTCAGCCACTCTACTACGGAACTCCCCGTTGCCTTCAATTTGATAGGATTCTCTTCACTTGGTTCACTGACCTTTTGGCGTTTGTTTGTCAACTCCTCCTCACAGACTAATGGAAGATTCCGTACCTGGCAACCATTGGTAGGTCTAGTGGATTCCTCATCCTTATCTGGGTCACAATTTTCCATCGGACTATTGGGAGACATGTCAATTTCCCCACTGATTGCCGTGTTGCCCGTATCTAATGGATTCCGCGATAAATCTGATGCCTCCTTCGTGAGTTCACCATCTTTCTCTGCCTGGCTGCTCCCTTGCTGAGCGCCTTCAAGGGATACTCCAGCGTTTTGCATTGCCAAATAAGTCTTGATGTGTAAATAGCTTACCTGACGTCACAAAAGTTAAATTTATTCAATCTGATGCTCAATGAGTGATATATAATTCCCCAGCCAACAGCCAGTTTTGGCTCTTTACAGCGAACGATGACTGTTCCTAAGATTGAATAGAACTCCTCGAAAGAAAACATAGTTTTTATCAGCAAGATTAAACTTTTATCATCCATTCGCTCAATGTCAATAATAAGAGCAAGTAATAACATCTCCCTCAGCTGTTAGAAGTTTTTGATACAAGTGATCCCCTATTGTTTGTCATTAGCTGAGACATTATACAATTATGAGACGAGCTTTGGTTAATGTATAAGGATATTTGCAATCAAAGGGACCAGCAACAAAGCAGCATGAGTTTCATGCAGATAAAAATAAACGGAATTCAAGATTAGACAATTGTCTCGTAGGAGTAAAAACAGGGCTGCAGGTCACATGCATAAATCATTAGAACAAAGTCGTATCATAAAAGCCAGAGATTGAACTCACGTCTTCTGGTAACTCATTTTTTAAAGGCTTCAATTTTTCTGTAGATCCAACCTTTAGAATAGCACCCTGAATTTCCGAGATAATTTCAGGTTTCAGTCCAACCATCTCACAGAATCTAGTCCAATCAAAAGGCAATCCTTCTCGGGCAGCTTCCAGCAGATATTCAACAACAGTCTGTTCTTTTATAGGAGCTGATCTACCTGGAAGGTTCTGAGATTAAAAAAGTTAGAAGGGGTGATAAATTATACAGTGAAGCATAATAGTCATACATCCTTGGTGATGATCATAAACTAATGAGACATACAGCAATCATCTGAATAGAAAGGCCATCTTCCTGCCACATTTTCCAGGCCTCAAACTTTGCTGGCGTCAACTTCTTTGATTCACTGGTTAGACTTACAGTGGACACTTTCCTTACTGCAGGAGCTGGCAAGCTTGCTTCTCCATCCAGTGAAAGGTTCAATCCTTGTGACAATTGTTGAATAACTTGAAGAAAATGATCTCCATATTTTGTTACCAGGTGCTACACAAAATTGTTCATATTTCAAATAATAGGAAGAAAATAAGACTGAGCAAATGTTACGTAGATTGGGAATTCCTTTTCATTGGTTTAACATGTCTCGAGACATGATAAGAAGAAATACATTTAATGCAGCATAATGCCCCAAGACGCCACAGGCGATTCTGTGATTTTTAAACTATTGCTGATCAATTGTTTCTTGGGAGAATTACATTCAAGTCCCACATAAGAGAAATAATCACTACAAAGTCCCAAGTAACAACTTGAGCAGCCTGTAATAACAAGTCCTACAGTGAGAATGACAACCTCTGGGACTTGTTTTTTAATTACGTGGGACCTCATTGTAATTCTCCCTTGTTTCTTCTGGATCTAATGCATCGGTCTAATGCATTTACTAGCATTAAAACTTAATTTTAGCAAACTGAAGAACTACCTGATTCACACCATCAACATTTGCTAGCCTTGCTTTTGTAGATGGTCTAGTCAGTGCAATTTTCTTGATTGTTTGATCGCCACAAACGGCATATCTATCAAATGTTATAACAGCTCCATTAAGAAATCAATCAAATCATGAAATAATAACAAAAAGAAGTTTTGGGTGGAAAAACCCTACGGAGCTGTCCCAACGTTTCTTGCGAGTTTCATTCTCTCTTCCAAAAGCATTTGGTAGAGTCGCCCCTCAGCCTGAGTAGAGAAATGCAAAAGAGCTAAGAGTTGACAAAAGCAAAATGAAGAGTCAAAGATGCAGGCCTAACGTTTCTCATAAAGAAAGATAAAACACTGCCATTTTATTTTTCTACAAACAAAGTCTTATAATTAAGACTAGAGGTAGTAAATAACAATGAAATCGTTTTCTACTTCAACACGTAATTGTCAACTGCCTTTACCAGGAAAAGTTTTTAGGGAAGCAAGCAAGAGAAAAGGAAGCAAAAAATATCACCAGGATAACAAAGGAAAAGACATTCAGTCTAAAAATATTTCTAAATAATCAAAATGAAAGTACATTTCGGGTGAAATGATGATCTCAATAAACAACATAATGAAACCTGATTGCTAACCTCTGAAAACCCTTCAGTATCTGAAGTGGCTAAACTTTTGAATTCTTCTGGGGCAGATCTATTTTCCTCTTCATCAAGCATCTCAGCAGTCACTGACAGAACTATGGGTGGTTGATAATCCGGTGTGGAAGAGGCCAGAAATTGCTCTCCTTTTGAACTGACACTGATTCATGAAGGTAGGTATGATTAACAGTGTAGGTTTGATCAAGAAATATAGTTGAATGCTGTGGGAATAAGGGCTTATAATAATTGGCCAGATGCATGCAGAACAAAAAAAGGAGAAGTTTATACACTTGAAACAATTACAGTAGTATTCCGAACAACTTAAAAAACCTACCTCACAGTTCTGTACACATCATTAACGGTCTCCTTCAAATAACCTGTAGAATATTGGAAGTCAGTTACTAGCTACAACACGTACCATATTTTGTATAACATTATTGGGTACAATGAAAGATAATATGAGAATTTAGGTCTTATGCCCCGTGTAAATGCAGGATGAGAAAATACTTGGAGAACACACTAATATACTCAACCCTAACTAGGAAAAAGGAAATAAACAAAATATTATAATTTCTAATGGTTAATCCTACAGCAGAATAAATTAAACTTTGATCAACAAGTATCAATAAGAAAGACATGCGAGAAGTGATCAAGTTATTTAACCACAAAAGTTAAAATTCGTGTGTGTGTGTGTGTGTAATTCACAGATTCACAGATTTGTTTCCTTGATAGTTCGCATGTTGATAACATTGCAGCTAAGTTGAAACTTGAAAGCCCTGAGCTAGAAGGTAGTAGAAAGAGAGACTATTCCCTCATTGGATTGAATTTACATGGAACCACAAAGGGTCTCTTTCCTTCCTTCCCTACCAAACATTGATATAGGCAGGTGCTGGATGTTGAGTTGAGACAATCCAGAAGGAAACCTGGTCATCCATCCATGGTCTCTTGCCACTCTAACCTTGTGCTTGCAATCTAATCATATAGATTTTAAATACAAACGAAGTTACCCATTCTTTCATAATGTCTTTATACAGCAAGTTTGAGACCGCCTGAAGGAATAGTGGGCACGGACTTTACACAACCAAAGAGAAATTGACATGTGTGATTCCATTATCTAAAGTTATCAACCCACGACAATCTTTTGGCCAAACAATAAAGGAAGAAGAAAGAAAAGAACCCTACTACAATCAGTTTCCATGATGCAGAATGCTATTGCACCAAAGGTTCAATGTTCAATGATTTGACTTGTCAAGCAACACAGAAGGTGCATAGTCAATGTCAAATTTCATCCAGTAATTCTACAGAATTCAAAATAACCTTGAAGCGAGAACATGAATTAATAAAGCAATTTGACTACAAATAACAGCTTCAGCCAGCTAAATTATTTCCACTCAAAATACCATGAGAAATTAATTGATGTCCTAGTGCTTTCCACCAATTTGATGGGTGAGCTTTCCCCAGACCATGGAGAGGAAGCTTGTCAAACTGAGCATCAAGAATTTTCTTGGCCTGTGAGCCACCAGCAAACACAATTATCAGCAATCGGAAGGTCATTATAAAAACTCCAGCAAGGATGAATGAATAATTAAACAAGTCGTTAAATGCTGACATACTATCAGATTACACACCGAGCATAATACCTTGCTCTAAACAGTGGAGCAATTTATGATGTTACGTGAATTAATTTCTGATATAATTCTGATTTGGGATTCAGTGTTCATAAGTTTACTTTCAAAAGTTAAAGAGTTTAGTTATTTTTGTCTTTGAATATTATCTTCCTCGATGGAAAATAAAAAAGAATACTTTTTAAATACATTAGAAGGGTTAAACCTTTGACGTCTACCCACATCCCATCCATCCTTAAAAGGGGGAAAAAAGAGAACAGAATATTTTATCCCCACAAAATTAGCATTTCATTTTGTATTCTCAATTAAGATTTATTGACTCTTAAATTAAAAGGGGGGCACTGTTAAAATCTATTTGTTTGAGTACTCTTGGATTCAAAAATACCCATCTAGAATAAGTATACTCTTGGATTTTATCAGTTTAGGAACTTCATAATTAAGATCCACTGCATCCAGTATTGTCCGGAAGATAATAAAAATGTTAAGAAGAAATAGAGAGTGCATATATAAAATAAGACATTGACACCAATTCCACCAACAAAGTTCAGATCTCAAAAACCGAAGAAAGCAAGTAGACAAACTACTATAAAATCATACTAAAATCCCCTGGTTTCCATGTTTAATAGCTTACTCGAGACCCACGCAGGATGTCAATTGGCATGTTCAGGCCCCATTTACCCCGGCATGATTGAATGCAAGCCAGGAGAAGAAATACTTCTGTTGACATGTCCCGTTGCTTCTTTGAGACAATGCAGTTATCACAATTTCCTACAACCAAGATTTAAAAGAATCTATGAGAGCAAACATGTGACATGTCCCGTTGCTTCTTTGAGACAATGCAGTTATCACAATTTCCTACAACCAAGATTTAAAAGAATCTATGAGAGCAAACATGTGACAGTAAGTTTCCAAGAGATAAAAAGTAACTGAAAAGAAGATGCCACATGTTTATCATTAGAGATGCATGTTATCAAGAACAGCATAAATATATACTATATAAAGTCTCACATCATATTTCATTCCCCAATAATTTCAACCTAACACACGTATCTTGATGTGTATCAATATAAAAAACCCTTAAATGGAGGGGAAAACATTTTCTGCAGTGGCACTAAATACTCTCGTTCTTGTTATCTCCATTCCCACACTAGTATCAACATTATACAAATAAAACAATAAGAATCAGGCTTTGGGTGCAATAACTAAAAGCCAGTGAGCTTCATATACTCCGTTTAGGCTATCAATGTCTGACCAGGCTCATAGAAAATCAGTTCAACAGCAATTTACTAAGACATCAAATCATATCCCAGTAGGAAACGTTGAACGCAAATGGCAGTTGTAGCAAGTCTAGTTAGTAAATGTATTGTATGAGGAGAACATTGGCTCTTCTAAGTCAATGAAAACATAAAGCAGCTTAATAATTGGCTTAACCATCACACTATAAGTGACAATACATTTATATTAAAATATCTAAGTGAAAGCCAAACCACATCTATCAGCTGAAACATTTTCCCCAAAGTATTCGAGCAAGAACTTTCTTCTGCAGGTTGTCAGCAAGCAATAGCGTTCAGCAGCCATTAATGACTCCATGACAGCTTTTTTTTGCTTTACCTGTTACATAGTGAAGAAAAATGCAAGCCATCAACTTCAACGCTCACTAAAGCACAACTCTTCTGTGACAATGGTCTCATCTAGGTGGCTTCTAAGACATATGCAGACATCAAATCCAGCAAGAAAAATTAAAAATACATACTGTTTGTAATTCTCCACAATAAAAGTTGCCCTTTGTAAAGTCACTTCTTGTGTAGTAAAGGCAACAAACAGAAGCTATACCATCTCGACCACATCGCCCACTTTCCTGGTAGTAGGACTCCAGGCTCTTAGGGCAGCCATAGTGAATCACCTGTCTTATGTCAGGCTTATCTATACCCATGCCAAAAGCAACAGTTGCAACCATGACTTGCAGTTCATCTCTAACAAATAATCTGAATAAATCAGTAAATGACTTAGTTTGCCATAGTAAGTACTGAAATGCCTTAGCCAGTACCTATCATAAAATTGAAAGGAGGCCTAATGGAACAAACATGCTTTAAACTCATTTTGATCGTAAGGATTAAAATTTATTTTGCTATTCAAGAAATATAGAGGATAAGATAAGCACCTATGAGATTCCTGACGAGATTTTTTACTCATTTGCCCATGATACATCCCTGCTGCAACACCTGCTTCCACAAGTGACTTGGAAATCTACGCATAACAAGATTAAGAATAAGTAAAAACTGCGGCAGATATAATTTGACAGAATTTAAACTGTAAGAAATTCGACCAAGAGCTCTAGAGGGAATAGAATCAGCCTGAGGGGAATTAGATCACCAGTTCACCACCAAAAAAAAAAACAAAAAGAAAAAAATTAATGGTAAGACAGTCATGAAATATTGAGAGAAGAGAAATTGGAGAAAAAAGCAGTTCCAATCATTGCATATTTAATAATAAATAATGTGGTTGTATATCACTATATCTAATCAAGAGTTCATAAATTTTGAAGAAGTTGAATTGAGAAAGGGTTGAATGATGTCATATTACTCATGCACAATGAACATATATTCCTTACCACATCAAGCATGGCTTTGAGTAAGTGTGATTAAAACGTCAGTGAGTATATTCACAAGAGGACAGCAATTCAAGCAAATGCGTAATGAGTCTAATATGATCAACTAAAATCCTTTCACTTAACACTGAAAATAATTTTCAACATGAGAAAGAGAGACAATTAACTGATTTTATCGTTCAGGTATATGGCAGAGACAATGATAGCAGGGTAAAACTATTATGGGATTCATCAGAAATGTTTTGCAGCACAATACCTGTTCTACATCTTTGACTGTAGTGCAGTAGATTATAGTGGAACCACCAGTAGCTACTTTTTTCGAAATCTCTTGCACAAGCTCATTCACAAAATGTTGTCCGGGGTTAAAAGGCTTGACGCCATAGAAAAGATTGGAGCGATCAAATGAACCAACTGAAACATAAGGATTACACATCTTCAAGGAACTGATGATGTCAACTCGAACCCTAGAAATATGGCATGATGCAGTTAAAAAGTGTACTATACATGAAAAAACCATCAAAGCATGATATATAGATCAAGCATTCTATAATTATACAAATACATTAAATAAATTTAAGAAGGAAGAAATATCAACAATCAACAATTCTTTTAACAGTTAGATGCTTCATTAACAGCTGATGTGAAAGACAATTACTTTTCCGTAGCAGTTGCAGTTAGGCCAACAAAAGGAACATCAGGTAGAACACCACGTAACTTGTCTAGTTGCTTGTATTCCACCCTAAAATCATGGCCCCATTCGGATATGCAATGTGCCTCGTCAACAGCAAAAAGACAGATTCCTGACTTCAGCAAGTTCAGCCAGAAGCTGCAGAAATGAGACAAAATAAATTACGAATATTCCCAAGCAGTATTCTCTCAACTCAAATCAAACATGCAAATAAGTACACATCATGAAAGAAGCACAGGGTTGTGTGCTTAATGACTCAAACTCAAAGGCTAATGTAGATATTATATAAAATTGAATTATTATTTATTTTATCATGTAACGATGTGATTATCAATAGTGACCTAGGATTTATAATTTGGAATTAAGGTACTTCAGAATTTAATTAAGGATTAAGGATTTAAATAAAAGCTTTTGGACCTGGGGTTATATTAGCCCATGTCATAGTATCCTAATAGCAATAGTAGTGTTATCAGCATAACACAGTAGATGATCCATCGATTTTTTCCAATACCTGGTAGGAATTAAGCATGCCTTCTCAGGAGTCAAGAACAGAATGTCAAATTGGCCACTCTCAGCTTTAGTCTGGATAGTGGGGTCAGTCTGCGCGCTCCCAAGATACTCAGCTCTGATACCCCGTTGTTTCAAAGCCATTACCTGTTTGCCCATTGCTTTTCTGTGAGATAATCACTATTCGAAGCTATAGAAAGGCATTGGGAATTTGAGATCATGAAAAGGTGAAGAGAAAGTCAAAAGCACATATATGTGTATAAATCAATTATTTCACCTGGTCTTGCATTAATGAAATAAGAGGGCTAACAACTATCCCAGTCTTTCTCGCAACCAACGGAGGCACCTGATAGCTGTTTAAGGCAGGGAAAAAGAAAAAGACACGGAGAAAAAATTAGAGCTTCTTTTTCACCCCTCAAAGCTAGGTAAGGAGGCTCAGGAACAGCTTTTGTGGGGTCTTTTTACCACAAGGACTTCCCGCTGCCAGTAGCCATGACCACCAAGCAGTCCCTTTTCTCTAATATTTTCTCGATGACATCCTTTTGATACAGGCGGAACTCGGAAAACCCGAAGTATTTCTGTAATACCCAGTAGCCAAAAAATGAGTCATGAAAAAACGTACGATTAAATTAAAATCGCTAATACATTGTTCGCAAATTTCAATTTTGATGAGCAGTTACGCGATAACTGCATGCCTTGTATTGCATAAGGCTTGCTATGCAAATTTTTGAGACTGAGAAAGCAGCAAGAACCGAACTTTTCTCACTCCTCCACGACGATATAGAAAGATGGTAGTGTTTCCGAATTTTTTTCCCTTCTTTTTTCAAATGACGGCAAAGATTCAGAGTTCTTGCTTAAGGATGACAATACGGCGGGACCAAACATCATTTCCATTAAAAGAATAATGAGAAAAATCAAAAGAAATCCTGCCTTATGCATTCAATCGCTTCTATTGTTCATTTAGAAAAAAATCAACAATGAACTTCATATCTTAACAGAGAATACCTTCAGAACCGACTCCATAGTTCAGTGGAGAAGATGAAGGGGGCTGAGGAATAACTCAAAAACTGTGCAGGTGTTAGCTTGTCAGAGGCCCGCAATAATCGGATGTTCCCGCCAATTCGATTTTGCCTCCTCTTCATCGAGGGGGTGACGCCACGGGCTAGTTAGCTACTCAGTTGACAAGGTGTCATACCTTTTAAAATCTGATTAGCAAAATACACATGGATTACTTTTGACCCTGACCCTAAACTTTGAGGTTTCGGCCTTTACTCGGAAGGAAACTTGCCAGCTAGAAAGTGTTGGGATCAAAATCATTTTACAAATAATTACAGTGTGTGTGTGTGTAAAAGCAGTCAACTTACATAAATTAAACATCTATGTAAGTATGGTTGCATCATACTTAACCTTATGGAGAGGAGTTTGCTTGGAAGGACTAAGAGCGCGTTTGGTACGCTGAAAATTTAGTGAGAAAAATGGGAAATCATGATGAAATAAGAGCCATTTTAAAAAAAAATTATTTTTAATGTTATGTCAAGTAAAATTTAAATTTTAATATAATAAGAAAATGAGCTGGCAAACAAATTTTGAATTTGATACAAAAAATTCAAATGTTCTAAAATTAAATTTGACTTTATTAAAAAAAATCGAATTTACTTGCATCACATTTGAATGGGAGAATGACATTAAGGTCCCACAGAAGCCAAAATACAGCAAAAAGGTCCCCTGAAATGTCATAATTTTTCTAAAGTCCCAAAGGGACTTAGATGCAATTTTCAAAATCTACAAATTACTCTCTTGCCCTGCCCTAAGCCATCAGAAACGAAGACGCAGAATTTCATTTGGGTGAGAGTTCCCGCGCAATATGCTTGAGAAAGAAGACATTAGGAAAGAGGGAAGGAGCCATTGATGATGAAATATCCTCTCTATTACCATTAGTGAACTCCAAAGAGCTTCTCCACAAATTTTCAGGTGTGAAACTTTCTTTCTTCTTCTCTCCTACCTTTCTTGACAGATTGTGCTTTTGTTTGGAAATGGGAAATCAAAAAATCGTTTTTGTGTTTTTGGGTTGCTTGTGGATGGTTTTGGGAATGGGATTCACAAGTTAATCAATAGAAAAGTTGTGTTTTTGGTTGGTGTGTGTTGGTGATTTAAGTTGGGTGTGTAGGATGATCATGGGTGCTCTGTTTTTGGGTTGCTTGTGGGTGGTTTTGCTCTGTTCTGATGCTAGTTCAGTGGCAAAGGAAGAAAAAGATGAAGGTTACTGTGGGTGGAAACCCTTAGTACGAAATGGGATATTGTGTTGTCAATCAGGCCGCGATAGTTGTCAACGCGTGCCACGACAGTTGTCAATATAGCTCCTTGCCTTGTTAATGACAGTTGCGTGATTCTTGATGCAGGTTTAAATAACTGATGGCGGGTACATCTGAAAAACATCTATTTTGCTTTATTCACATATGGGAAAAGTTTACAAATAATGGAGAAGATAATATGAGATACGTGGGAGAACATATTGAAGTCATTGTGGAAGGAGCCCAAATCCCAGCTGAGAACATATTGAAGTCATTGTGAAAGATGCAAAGAGCTTGGACATACTGTCAAGATATGGAAGAACCCAAATCCCAGCTGAGAACATATTGAAATTAGCTATTTTTTTGTATATGGATGTGAAGGGAATATTTTGTAAATAGGTGTGAAGGGAATTTTTTGTAAATGGATACACACCAATAGTTAGTTTCTTGTAATTATATGCAACCCTTATGTTTTTTTGGGATGGGTTGTGAAATAAGTATAGTTTCATGTATGTGAAAGTGTAAATGAAAGTTGACTATGAATTGGCATGTTAGATTCTGCTGTCATTTAAGTTGTCAATAGAACATTGTCACTTGTCAATTAATTTGCTGATGTAAGTTGTCAACAATATGAATTCAAGTTACATAACCTGTTTTGGTAACATATGATATTTTCAATCACTCTGTCATATTACATTTTTCGTTATATTGTCATATATAATAATTATTAATGAAGTGTCAGTGGTGGCACGCTGACTTGTCAATAATGGCACACTGACTTGTCAATCGTGGCACTATGACTTGTCAATGGTGGCACTATGACTTGTCAATGGTGGCACACTGACTTGTCAATGGAGCACTCTGACTTGTTATCAGAAGTGGAGAGCTGAAAAGAGGTCATCCGCCGCGGCTTATGGGAGAAAACGCCACGGCGGCTAGAACAGAGAGGGAGGAGTGCATTTCTGTAAAAGGCGCCGCGGGGCATGACCGAATCCGCCACGGCGCCCAAGCTGACTTGTCAATCGTGACACTATGACTTGTTAATAGTGACACGCTGAATTGTCAATGGTGGCACTATGACTTGTCAATGGTGGCATAATGACTTGTCAATAGTGGCACACTGACTTGTTATCAGAAGTGGAGAGCTGAAAAGAGGTCATCCGCCGCGGCTTATGGGAGAAAACGCCACGGCGACTCGAATAGAGAGGAAGGAGTGCATTTCTGTAAAAGGCACCGTGGCATATGACCTCTTTTAAGCTCTCCACTTCTAATAATAAGTCAGAATGATCCATTGACAAGTCACAAGGCCACCATTGACAAGTCGCGGTGCCACCAATGACAAGTCAGTGCACCACCATTAACAAGTATTCACCGATTAACAGCTTGGGCGCCGTGGCGGATTCGGTCATGCCCCGCGGCGCCTTTTACAGAAATGCACTCCTCCCTCTCTGTTCTAGCCGCCGTGGCGTTTTCTCCCATAAGCCGCGGCGGATGACCTCTTTTCAGCTCTCCACTTCTGATAACAAGTCAGAGTGCTCCATTGACAAGTCAGTGTGCCACCATTGACAAGTCATAGTGCCACCATTGACAAGTCATGCCAGTCATAGTGTCACGATTGACAAGTCAGTGTGCCATTATTGACAAGTCAGCGTGCCACCACTGACACTTCATTAATAATTATTATATATGACAATATAACGAAAAATGTAATATGACAGAGTGATTGAAAATATCATATGTTACCAAAACAGTTATGTAACTTGAATTCATATTGTTGACAACTTACATCAGCAAATTAATTGACAAGTGACAATGTTCTATTGACAACTTAAATGACAGCAGAATCTAACATGCCAATTCATAGTCAACTTTCATTTACACTTTCACATACATGAAACTATACTTATTTCACAACCCATCCCAAAAAAACATAGGGGTTGCATATAATTACAAGAAACTAATTATTGGTGTGTATCCATTTACAAAAAATTCCCTTCACACCTATTTACAAAATATTCCCTTCACATCCATATACAAAAAAATAGCTAATTTCAATATGTTCTCAGCTGGGATTTGGGTTCTTCCATATCTTGACAGTATGTCCAAGCTCTTTGCATCTTTCACAATGACTTCAATATGTTCTCAGCTGGGATTTGGGCTCCTTCCACAATGACTTCAATATGTTCTCCCACGTATCTCATATTATCTTCTCCATTATTTGTAAACTTTTCCCATATGTGAATAAAGCAAAATAGATGTTTTTCAGATGTACCCGCCATCAGTTATTTAAACCTGCATCAAGAATCACGCAACTGTCATTAACAAGGCAAGGAGCTATATTGACAACTGTCGTGGCACGCGTTGACAACTATCGCGGCCTGATTGACAACACAATATCCCATTTCGTACTAAGGGTTTCCACCCACAGTAACCTTCATCTTTTTCTTCCTTTGCCACTGAACTAGCATCAGAACAGAGCAAAACCACCCACAAGCAACCCAAAAACAGAGCACCCATGATCATCCTACACACCCAACTTAAATCACCAACACACACCAACCAAAAACACAACTTTTCTATTGATTAACTTGTGAATCCCATTCCCAAAACTACCCACAAGCAACCCAAAAACACAAAAACGATTTTTTGATTTCCCATTTCCAAACAAAAGCACAATCTGTCAAGAAAGGTAGGAGAGAAGAAGAAAGAAAGTTTCACACCTGAAAATTTGTGGAGAAGCTCTTTGGAGTTCACTAATGGTAATAGAGAGGATATTTCATCATCAATGGCTCCTTCCCTCTTTCCCAATGTCTTCTTTCTCAAGCATATTGCGTGGGAACTCTCACCCAAATGAAATTCTGCGTCTTCGTTTCTGATGGCTTAGGGCAGGGCAAGAGAGTAATTTGTAGATTCTAAAAATTGCATCTAAGTCCCTTTGGGACTTCAGAAAAATTATGACATTTCAGGGGACCTTTTTGCTGTATTTTGGCTTCTATGGGACCTTAATGTCATTCTCCCCATTTGAATTTGCTCAAATAAATTTGTATTTTATATAGTAAAGAATTTTTATCATCACATGAACAAAGTCACATTTTACATAGCAAGTTCGAATATCATCTCAACAAATTCAAATTTTTTTACCTCTTTTTATCTCTGTTTTTTTTTTTAACTAGAAACAGAGCAAACCGGGGAAAAAAAACTCAGCACCATAAATACCTATTAATTAAAACCAGTTCTTTGGCAACTATCTTTACTATTTTAGTATTAATAAAATGAAGCAGTACGTCACCATTTATATTCAATCTGTAGGAAAATTTTGGGAGGCATATCCGTTTTACAATAATTAGAAACTTGGACTGAAAACTAAGATGCCCAAAGTATACATACTCCCCGTCAAAATGCCTCTAGCATAAAAATAGAAGGAGATAGAATTGGACCTTTGCGCTACGGTAAAGATTAGCAGGACTGGGACTACTACACACACGCGCTACTTTCAGTTATTAATATAAGAATTTGTTTGATTTTTATTTTGATCTTAAATATAAGATTTCAATTCACTTTGTTTATTCATTTATTGTTTTTTAATTATCAAATTTATTATTATTGTTATTCTATAAGTTAAAAAAGCATTTTTGTTAGTTAATAATATTATGTTCTCTTATTAAGTGTAATATGGTAAATTGCAGAATTTTCTAACTCATTTTTATCCAACCAAACATAAAATTTTTCATCAAACTATTTTATATTCTTGTGCTTACCCGACATGCCATCATTTATAAATTTTTCATTCCATTCTATTTCATTCCTTTCCATTCTAACCAATTTTTCCTATCAAATGAGTCCTGAGTCCCCTCCCATTATATAGCCTAGCTGTTATGAAATTAAGATTACAAAGAGTGACTCGAGAAATATTTTTTTAGAAGTACTTTCATTTTGAGAGAAAACTTTTTTCATATTATTATAAGATTATTTTTAAAATATGATTTTGTTCTCACATAAACACTCTTTAAATGTTCATAAACATGTAAGTTAAGAAAAAAAATTTTCATATACACTCATATTTTATAAATGATGATTGAAATTACAATTTCAAAGGGATCCTAAACTAAAAGGTCTAACTAATATACTTTTCTATATTAGAAATATAGCCTTTGAACTCATCTTCTTAACCAAAAATAAATAAATAAATAAATAAATAACTGCAAACTAAACTAAATACGTTTTCTAATACATTATTTGAAGGTCCGGAAACAAGTCACTCCATTAACTTGATAGAAAACATAATATGTACAAATTTATGGCTTATAAAACATTAAATTAAGATTCTTCATATAAAGATAATATAAGTCTATTATTATTGATGTTAAAAATTATCTGTTCGTCACTTATGTTTAACTGCTCAAATATTGAAGTTGTCAAACTATAAATTTATATAAAGTCATATTATTCATAAGTTATAAATAGTAAAATTCAGGCAAAAAAAAAGGGTAAATTTATCTTGAGTTATCTCATATGCATGGCAAATGAAAAAGACAAACCGTGAGTAACAATTTAAAATCCAGATACAATAATGTTTTTATAATTTTAAAATATTTTATATGCATAATTTTAAAATATTTAATTTAATAGCAATATTACAAATTATTAATAATTGATTTTTTTTCCTTTCATAATTTTATTTTACCAGGAAATATACTAGAAGACCCGTTAACCAAATTACGAAACCATGATAGATAATCGCAGACTTCTAGCAATTCTCAAATCTGCCCCGAACCAAGTCGCATTTACAGGTTGCCGGCGGGGACAACTTCAGAGTTCTGTCTCTCCTTCCTCGAACGCCTATTGAATAGAATCAAACTAGTAAATCCCTTCATCGCTTCAGAACTATACTTTTCTTGGCATCAAAATTGTGAAAACCTCAGTTTTTTGAAACGCATGTCTGATCTCTCTTGGAATATTTCTGGTTTTGAAATCAGATGTACCAGTGGAGGAAGTTCGAGTTTTTTGAGGAAAAACACGCAGGAAAATGTGCGATTCCTGAGGAGGTGACAGGGAAGATCGAATGCTGCTCAAGCGGGAGAGGGAAGGTGGTGATTGGATGTGATGACGGCGTCGTCTGCTTGCTTGATCGCGGCCTTAAGTTCAATTATGGGTTTTCTGCTCATTCCTCCTCCGTTCTCTTTCTTCAGCAGCTCAAGGTTCAATCTCTAATTTTCTCTATTTCTCATAATGCAAGTGAAATGCTTTTAGTTCGGGTTTATGGAGAAGTGATGAATAGCTACTTGGTTTTATGCGGTTTTTATTTTGATTGCTGCTGGTACGTAAACATATTCAGTAAAGGAAGAAAGAATTGTGTTTGAAAAATCTGAAAAGCCCGTAAATTTGTTGAAGCTCTACGTCCTCTTTTGTAATCGTTAGCTTTTGCTTCATTAGTTGAATTACCAAAATCCCTTTTAGCCTTTCAATTAGTGTGAATGTTGGGGAAAGAATTATTCAGGTATTTATTGCTAGTTGTTATAACCAATTCTTTTCGTTTACCTGTGGATTTTGACTTCCAAATATTTGCACGACTTTCGAACATTACCAATTACTTCATTCGTTGATGAACCAGCAACGGAACTTCTTGGTCACTATTGGAGAAGATGATCAATTAGCCCCCCAACCGTCAACTTTGTGCTTGAAGGTTTTTGACCTTGATAAGATGCAACCTGAGGGTTCAAGCACGATGAATCCCGAATGTGTTGGGATATTGCGAATATTCACTAATCAGTTTCCCGGAGCGAAGGTAAATGAAACTGTTGTGCATGCTTGTTACGCTTACATTTTATCTGGATATGTTTATGCTAAAACTCTGTTTGTAACTTGATTTCATTCTTCCAAGCTCTCATTTTGATATTGTGGGGATTTTGATATACCGCAGATCACATCTTTCATAGTCTTTGAAGAAGTACCACCTATACTGCTCATAGCTATTGGCTTAGACAATGGTTTTATTTACTGCATCAAAGGAGACATTGCAAGGGAACGTATTACCCGGTTCAAGCTTCAGGTGGAATACCATTCAGAGAAAACCCTTTCGTCTGTAACTGGCCTTGGGTTTAGGGTGGATGGTGATTCCCTTCAATTGTTTGCTGTAACTCCAAGTTCAGTGAGTTTGTTTACTTTGCATGATCAACCACCGAGAAGGCAAACCCTAGATCAGATTGGATGCAATGTCAACAGTGTGGCAATGAGTGATCGCTCTGTATGCATTCTCATTGCTCATTGATTATTAATGAAATTTATTGCTAGCTATATACATTTTCTGTAAAAGCTAAATGTTTTTAATATGGTAACACAAACAGGAATTAATAATTGGTCGACCTGAGGCTGTATATTTTTATGAAGTTGATGGGCGTGGTCCTTGTTGGGCTTTTGAGGGGGAGAAGAAATTTCTGGGATGGTTTCGTGGATACCTTTTATGTGTTATTGAAGATCAAAGAAACGGAAGGCATACTTTCAACATCTATGACTTAAAAAATCGCTTGATAGCTCACAGTGTATTGGTTAAAGAAGTTTCTCATTTGCTCTATGAATGGGGTAACATAATACTCATAATGACTGACAAATCAGCTTTGTGTATTGGGGAGAAGGATATGGAAAGCAAATTGGACATGCTTTTTAAGAAAAATTTATATACTGTAGCAATTAATCTTGTTCAGACTCAACAAGCTGATGCTGCAGCCACTGCTGAAGTACTAAGAAAGTATGGGGATCATCTATACAGCAAGCAAGACTACGATGAGGCAATGGCCCAGTACATACATACCATTGGTCATCTTGAGCCTTCGTATGTGATACAGAAGTTTTTGGATGCTCAAAGAATATATAACCTTACAAATTACTTGGAAAAGTTACATGAGAAGGGTCTTGCTTCTAAAGACCATACCACTCTGCTATTGAATTGCTATACCAAATTGAAAGATGTTGAAAAGCTTAATTTATTTATTAAAAGTGATGACAGCGTCGGAGAACACAAGTTTGATGTGGAAACTGCAATCAGGGTTTGTCGTGCTGCTAATTACCATGAACATGCAATGTATGTTGCAAAGAAGGCAGGGAGACATGAGTGGTACTTGAAGATCTTGCTTGAAGACCTTGGTCGGTATGATGAGGCCTTGAGATATATTTCAAGTCTTGAACCAAGTCAAGCAGGAGTCACGATTAAGGAGTATGGTAAGATTTTAACAGAGCACAGGCCAGCAGAGACAATCGAGATCCTCATAAGGCTTTGCACAGAGGATGGAGACAAAAAAGGAGCTTCAAGTAGTGCATATGTATCTATGTTGCCATCTCCTGTTGACTTTCTTAGCATCTTCATTCATCATCCCCAATCCCTGATGGATTTTCTTGAAAAGTATACCAACAAAGTAAAGGACTCACCCGCTCAATTGGAAATCCACAACACACTATTGGAATTGTATATATCCAAGGAATTGAACTTTCCTTCAATATCTCAAGTTACTGATGATGGAGATCTTAACCTCAAGGTAGCGTCAGTGAAATCTTCAATGTTAAAAGCTCAGTCAAATGGAACAAGTGCTGATCACAAAAGTTCAGAAGAGAAAACAGATCTGTTAAAAAGGCGTGAGAAAGGTCTAAACTTGCTTAAGAGTGCATGGTCACCAGAGATGGAACATCCACTTTATGATGTTGATTTAGCAATTATCTTGTGTGAAATGAATGCTTTCAAAGAAGGACTGTTATATTTATATGAAAAGATGAAACTTTATAAAGAAGTGATTGCTTGCTACATGCAGACACATGATCACGAGGGGCTAATTGCTTGCTGCAAACGGCTTGGGGATTTAGATAAAGGAGGGGATCCTTCCCTTTGGGCAGATTTACTTAAATATTTTGGTGAGCTTGGAGAAGATTGCTCCAAAGAAGTGAAAGAAGTTTTGGCTTATATAGAGAGGGATGATATTTTGCCCCCCATAGTTGTCCTTCAAACTCTTTCGACAAATCCATGCCTTACACTTTCTGTAATCAAGGATTACATTGCTCGAAAGCTTGAACAGGAATCTAAGATGATTGAGGAGGACAGACAAGCCATTGAAAATTATCAGGTTGGTCCTCCCTTATCTCATAATTTTTTGTTGTAAACCCTATCACGTCAACATTACCATTAACAATAATTTGGAAAGTTAAGTGCAAATGCAGTCTGAAAACAAGAAATATGAACTCTTGAAATCCTGAATGCTTAACATATTGTATAGAGGTGATTTAGGCTCTTCGTTACTAAGCAAACAACTGCCCTCAGTTATGTTCAGTTGACTTGAATGTACCAATAATTTTATGAGTTCTCAGTCCACTATATGAAGCTCACTGAATTGAGTAGCATGGTAATTCATTCAGTGGAAGAAATTATTTTCCTAGGACTCTCTTACGTCTTGCTGAAGATGCAAGGACTAGTGTTTCTCATGTTGATGACAAAGTTGATTAGATTAAATGACAGTCTGTACATGTGGTGATATTGTTTCCTTTGATCTAATTTGTTAAGAAATATGTTCTAGATGATTATGTGAAGTTTGAATTTCTTTCTCAAATTCCTAAATAATTTGATGGCATATACATTTACTCTCTAATGCTGTGGGGTAGGTGTAATTTAGTCTCTTACTTCCTTTATTTTTTTCCTTGTTCTAACTAAATCCTTTGATTTATCAAAATATTCCAGTTAAATTATCTGAAAGATTCATCTCACATTGCTTTAAGCACCGCACTTCATATATGAAGTGTCTAGGGAGGAGTTGGTCCAAAAAAAAAATCTAGGCAGGAAATTTCTCATGCTTCTTTTCTTCACTCTATTTCTCTTGTATTACCTGTTTTATTCTGCATAGCAAAGCTCATAATAAAAGTAATCAAATCCTTTTGCTGTTGGTGAAACAACCTTTTTGGAGAATCATTACAAATGCAAAACACTTAATGATGAAAGTGGAGAAGATGCACAATGAGGTTGCGGTTATGAGCAAGTGATGAACCATTAATGGACTGCAACATTAGAGACATAAAAAGGCAAAATCTACAAGAATGCTTATAATTCTGAAATCATGCTACTCACCTGAAAACTAAAACTTAAACTTCTCCTAATTCGTTCAGATTACTACCACCAACAATGAACAGCTTAAGCCACATTTTCTTCTCCTTCTTCCTTTTCCCCCCATCTGTCTTGATTTCTTTATTCCCTCTCTCGCCCAATGCTTGTACAACCCTGAAGCACTGCCACTTGCCAGGGGAAAAAATCTTGCTCCTCTCAATTAGGTAAACATTGTAATATTTTAATAAATTATTGCATTCAATCGAAAAAGAAAGACTTCTGACTAAATGACTAAAAGTGTATTTTTGTCTAATTATATTTAATTATTATTTTTATTTCAGGAGGGAAAGAACTTTGATGATTTTTTTTTTTTTTCTGGTGCAGGAAGATACACTCGCAATGAGAAAAGAGATTCAGGATCTTAGGACAAATGCCAGAATATTTCAATTAAGCAAGTGCACTGCATGCACTTTCACTCTAGACCTCCCAGCCGTTCATTTCATGTGCATGCATTCATTCCATCTGCGCTGCCTTGGCGATAATGAAAAGGAATGTCCTGAGTGTGCTCCTGAATACAGGTCTGTCTTGGAAATGAAAAAGAATTTGGAGCAAAATTCTAAGGATCAAGATAGATTCTTCCAGCAAGTGAGGAACTCTAAAGATGGGTTCTCTGTAATTGCTGAATATTTTGGGAAGGGGATTATTAGCAAAACAAGTAATGGAACAACCTCTGGTGTCAGAACTGGAAGCACATCTTCCAGCAGTGGTTTCTGAGGTGCAGTTTTTTGCCGCTTACTTTAAGGGTTATTCATGAAGGGCAAGCCTGGATTCTTGATGCTTGATGAAATTTATCACGTGGAGATGTACTTTTCCATCAGCGCTTCTTCACCGACCTTTATTTCTGCTGGAACAGCGTTTGTGTATTTACCCAGATGTGCTGGCTTTTAAGATGATGTGTAGCGCATTTACCAGGGAACATTCCTGAATGGTCCGGCTGTTGTGCTGAAGAGTTTTATTGCACGGATCTTTTAACAGAATAATTCTCTCGATCACCGCTCGGCAAAATATTTGAGAATACTCTTGAGGGAAAATGTCTAGAGTTTTGGTGTGAATTCAAGGTAGAATTTTCCTGTTATCATGGGAGTTTAATTTTTTCTGGGATATTGCTGATGAGATGTTTTAGTGCTTTTAACTATGCCAGAGCCATGTAAAAGTGATAAAAATCCAAAAATTTTATTTGCTTGTTATATGTGGTTCATTAGCTCTTTGTTTTATTTAGTTTGATATCTCATCTCGCGTGCAGTATTATTTCTATGTTAAACTATTGCCATGATGTTTAAATTTAATTTAAACAGTTGAAATTAAGGAGGTAGAAGAAAATATATTTGAACATAATTCAAAATGAAAAGAGAAAGTGCGGCGAGCAAGGATCGAACTGTGCCATCCCAATTGAGGTATACCCACATATGTATTTTTTATGTTAATGTTTATTATATACTACTTTTTGTTCTTAATATAAAATCTAATTAAATAATTTGATAGATTAAAAAATGTGTATTAATTAAAATTATCATTTGATAAAATATTTAACCTGTACAGTTATTATAAAGATTACTTTGGAAAAAAATAGATAAATATGAATGACAAAGTAAATTAATATTTCATACTTAAAATCAAATTAAATGTCAAACTAATTTTATATTAAATATATTATTAAGTACTCATCCGGTCCTTAATATAAGACTCATTTAACTAATAAAGAAGTTAGATAAGTTAGTTAATTATAAGAAAAGTGACATTTTTCTTAAAACACCATAATCATCTTTCTTAAATACCTCATCTCCCTCTTCTACTTGATTATGGTTGAAAGAGTATTCATAGGGATAATTTAGAGAAAATTGATAAATATAAGAAATGGGTTTTATATTTATGACTAAAACTAACTCAAAAATTAAATCCTATATTAAGAATCAGAGGAGTATGTAGGTAATATCTAGCAATAAACCTGTTCCGCTTTCCCATAAGAGCCCATTTTTGGCTTCCCTGAACAATGGTCTCTTCCTGTTAATGCCCCACCCACCCCCAACACAACACAACACAGCACAACAACAACAACAACAAATCTCAAGGAGACGTTATTCACTATTAAGTGTCCTCGCAAGCCCAGAGAGTATAAATGCATAACACCAAAATGCAATAGAAAAACAAACTCGAGGAATACAGATAGAAATGAGGAACAAGATGTTTATCTATAACTCTTCAATAATGCAAGCAATCCCAGGCTATAAAAATAGGGGCAATTCGAAACTCGAGTCCTCTTGAGCTTGAGAGTAACCGTTAATTATGAAATGATCCTAGAGGACTTGAAGTCGCTAAGTTTTAATGAGGATCCAGTGCAGCTTCCAAAGCGACGAGTCGAGTTCTTCAGTGGCTACAATGTGAAATTGTCCAAATATGACGTAACTATCACAAGAAAAGTTTTCTGTATTCATCTGCCTCTCGAGCCATCTCTTCGACGCTTCTATCTTTCCTCTCCTTATCCAAGTCAAGCTTTTGCTTCAACTCCCTCTCCTTCTGATCCATCTGCGCCGGTGACAAACAGCCGACAAACAGTGAATATTAAATCAATCACAGCGTCGATATCAACAGCATTAACTTCACCGAAATGAAAATCACTATCCTACCGCATCATAGATCTCATCATTCTTCTCGAAATCACCACTTATTCTCGGGACAACATGAATATGAACATGAGGAACAGTCTGCCCAGCTTGAGGGCCATCCTAACCACAGAAAGACAATTTCATAAGTTTCGTGGCATTCAGTAAGCAAAACACGCAGCCAGGCAAGCAACACAGTAATCTGCAAATAGGGAAACTTTGAATATTGCATACAAGCCAAAAGCTACAAAGCTGAACTCCCCTCTTGTACATAATGGAGTCAGTGTGTTTGTCCAAGTCTTAGTTCACAGGTCAACCAAAAATATGCATAACATCAAAATGGTACAGACAGCAGCTACTTTCAAATTTCAGCCAAGAAGTTTAGTGACAAAATAATAGACAAGCTGCACTGCAAACAAACATAAGAATCTTAATTATAGCTTCTTTAAGAACCAAACAAGAACTGAAAAAGGAAAATGTTTGTTCAAGCACTTGTACCTATCATCAAGATATTTGTAGAAAATGAAATTAACTGAAAAGATAATTAAATCAGTCAAAAATATAGTGCAATTAATTGTGAATTATAGGCTTACAGGAAACGCTTAGTGGCAACAAAGACTGTACAGCCAAGAACCAGACGACAACTAATATTTCAAAGAACAAAGCAGACTCAAACTATAAGCACCCTCCAACTATCTTACTTGGATTGCGAATGTAAGTGATGATGCCTTGTGGTAATTCTCAAGCTGCCCACCAACTTTCTGTGCCGTAAGCCACAAATCAGAAGTCTCATCAGCAGTGAGATCGACAAATCGCTTCGCTTCCCGCTTTGGACAGATGAGCACATGTGAACACTGTTAAGTCAATCAAGTTCACTAAATGCAATTGATTTTTACAAATTTTACTCTTAATGCTTGAGATTTTTAAAATATGCCAAAAATAGCCATTTCACCAGCATCTTCAAACAGATGCTGGCAGGCGTATGGATAAATGTTAAATTATCTAGATATTCCCAAATAAAACAAGCCAATTGTCCAACCAAACATGCTTTCGCCAAATGGAATGTCTACTCAGCTAACTGCATGGCTCATCTACGAACTATCAACGTTATCGTAAGGTGGATGAATACTCAAGGGTTGACCCTAGCAGCCAATGACTAATAGCCATGAACTCACTGTGTTCCGTACCAGCGAGTCTTTATTTGCAAGTGTGTGCATTAACGAGTCTTTATATAATTGTTTATGCGTTGCAAAAAGCAAAACAGACAAGTTTGGGCTTCTTTTACTTTTCGAATGAACAGTGGCACGTTATGCGACTACAATAATGCAATAATCATCCCAAACCAGCACAGTATTGTTGATACTCAAAAAGGATATGACCTGAAAAATGACGAGCAGAATTAATCAACAAAGAGTCTCTTTCCAGTTATGAAAACGCAAAAATTTCGTAAACAATTTTGCAAAGAAGACAACTTATGAGCCCCCTTTTGCTGGTTTCACCGCACTTCGAAACGAAAGAAGAGAAACAGATAGAAAGGACTGCGAACATACCAGGGAGAAGAGGACGCAGGTTGACCATAGCATAAGAAAGATGGGTGGAATAGAACACTTCACTCTGGTGTATCTTGTAAGGCCCAAAAGTGTAGTATTCCGCAGCCATCTGCGAAATGCGTGAAGAATTAACCGAAATTCTACATGAAACCACTGGAGAGAGCAATTTTACAGTTGAAATAATGAATCGACTTGTGTATTTACCTTGACGGTGGACGAGGAGATCGGTCGCGCTTTTACCGATATTGAAGAATGTCGAAGAAGCGAGCGAGGACTGGGAGCAAGAGAGGGCACCAGGCGCAGCAACAGCTGCTTTACCATTTCCCACTTTCCCACTTTCCCACTTTCCCCCTTCCCCCCTTCCTTTATTTTAGAGCCTCGGCAGCTTAACGTAGAACGAGATGCTTAATATAAAACTCATTTAACTAATTTGATTAGATTAAAGAGTTAAGTAAGTTAATTAATTATAAAAAATATGATACGTTTTTTCTAAAACACTATAATCATCTTTGTTAATATCTATTTTTCTTTTTTACTTAATTATGGTCGAGGAAATATTCACAGAGATAATTTAAAGAAAATTAATAAATATGAGAAATGGGTCTTATATTTAAAACCAAAATCAAATTAACGATTGGTTCATATATTAAGGACCGGAGGAGTATTATATTTAACATTTAATTTACATATTTATTAACTTTTTAAAATTAACTTTATTAATATTTTTTCAATAAAAATAATGCTTTTAAAGGAAGGGAGGGAATTAAGAAAAATGTTTAGAGTGTTTTTTAAAAAATATATCATATCAACTAATGTAACTAATATTTTTAATCTACTCAAATTAGTTAATTAGGTCTCACATTAAAGACCGAAAGAATAACACATTTTATTTATTTTAATTTGGATTAAGGAGAATAATGCACCACACTTTTTTCTTGAAAAATAGACTAGCAATTATTGCCATCATTGTGGATATTATTTACTGACAAAAGAGATAAATAAAAAAAAATAGTGATATTAATTAACTCTTATCTTAAGGATGGAAGGTACTACAATATACAAATATAGTTCAGCATTTGTATTTGTCATTGAATTTTTGAGGCTTTATGCAGCCCAATTTATTTGCACATATATTTATCAAGATGATATTCTGATGTATCAATGGAATTGAGTTGGCAAAATAAGTTAATTTTCACGTGACAGATTAAAATTTAAATTTGACTATAAGAGTAGAGAGATACTTATATTTAATACTTTGATCGATTGTGCTTAAAATAAGTGTTTTCAATAGAAATATAACTACATGATTTACTTCTTTCCCGCACTCCCAAAAAAAAAAATTTACCTGGGAGGACTGAAGTTCTAAATAAAACTTGAGTCAAACTCTCAGGATTTTTTTTTTCACACAAACTGTAAGACTATTCAACATTAGGCCCAGCCCAACATCGTAAGCCCAAATTGCTTCAAAGTACGGGGATCAAGAAACGAGCCTGACTCTGCTTTAGAAACAAAGTCCAACTGCGGAGTACCTAGAGGGCCAAAAAATAAAAATCCGGGAGCGGAGAGTCGATCTCCAGTCTCCCTCGGTCTACTTTATCCAGTCGGATAATATACAGGCCCTTCACGGTCGAGCTGCTCTGCTCTTCAACAATGGCGTCCTTCTGCAACGCCGTTATGGCTACCAGTAGCGACAACAGATGGAGTATGGCCTCTCTCCGATCGACTTTACCGTCCGTTGCTGCTTCTTCTTCCTCCGCCTCGCGGTGCTTCCCTCCCGCTGTAACGTTTCCCTCATCGTCTTCTGGCTCACAGAAGCTGCGAATTTCTCCGGCCAAATCCACGCTGTCCCTCAGATCTTTCAATGGTCTTTCTCCTAAAAACCCTTTGTTTTTTTCCGGTGCGTCCTCAGGTAAGAGAATTCAATTTATCTTAGCTTTGTTTGCTATTTATTGCCAGTTTCAAGTGCATCGCTATGATTCTGGTCCATTCCTCTTGGTTTGTTCCTGATTTTCTTCTATTTTTTTCTAGTTTTATACAAATAACGATAATATAATTGTACTGACTTGTCTAATGGATGCCTACTAGTAGTTTTTATGTCCTGTGCTTTTGTTGCGGAAGTTTGCTGTAATTCGAGGACATCTTTTCTTTTCTTAAACTAAAATGTGTGAAGTTGTTGCTCACCCCCTTGGCTTGACTTGTATGCTTTTGTGGCAAATATCGTCCCTTTCTTATCTCCTAAAAGAATGGTGGTGTGTGCATACATTGGTCTTCTTCTTAGGATTTCAGTTTATTGTGCCATATTAGTTAAGCCTGCAGATAGAAGTTCCAACTTGAATGTTATAATTTGGAGTTTAGTTGGCAGTTTGCTTTCCATTGATGTGGTTTTTCATTGGAAGGGTTTATGGTTGATGCTTTCTGATTTATATCTGCTATTTGATTACTCCATTCCTTGAGCTCTTGTTATTGTTGAACCAACATGTGAAGGGGCTGAAAATTTTTGGCTCTATACTTACTCATTTGGTAATGGAAGAGAATGGTGGAGGCCAGTGCTTTTATTGATAGTCTATGGTATCACTCTTGTATTTAGACAAGTTGTCTTACTTTGCTCGATTGTTTAAGTGTTCAAGAAGGTCTCATTGCAGAGGTTCTATAGCTGTTATGTGTGTATGTGAGTTGAATATCAGAGTTTCAGGTGGAGAAATCTATCACATGGACTTCTAGCTTGAAGCTTCAATCAGAAGCTTTGTTGGTTGGTTGCCTTGTGGTTGATGTGGTAGACAATTGGATGCGTAGAATCCATGATATGGGTGCTTTAAATTGTAGCGGTTTGGATCTAATGCATGACAATTGAAGGCTTTCATGCAACCACGTTACTTTGTTAGTTGACCCGGAGTCCAAAGTCGAGACTTGAACTTAATAATCGAAATGTTAGTGTTAGCATGGAGATTGAAGCCTTAATTGCACTCACTGCGTGTAGATTAGCAATCAACTGTTCAAAGCAGAAATGCAAGTTGACTACTCTATGTTTTCAACTTTTTTCCTGATTTCCTGCGTCCGCTGAAATTTATGATAGCACTTCTGTAGTTAGACTAATACTATCAGCAGTAAGATTGCAGTGCAACATCTTTCTCATATTAGATGATGTTTAGGTCTTTATACCGTCCGGGTGCCAATGTGAGTTAGACGCATATACTAGAGTAATGGGAATACGATTAGGAACTGCTGGCCAAAATAATTGTAATTCAAGAACGCCAACCAATAGAAGTTGCTTGTCTAGTCGGTAGGAAGTTTATATGTTTGAAAATGGTTTGCCATTCTTTTGGCTGATTTCCTTTGGAATTTTTCGCTTGAAGATTTTCCACAAAAAACAAAAAAAATTTATGGATTATATGTATAAACTGCTTTGATTATATGAATGTACAGAACCATGAGTAATGAATTAGAAATTAAAGATCTTTACTGTCAGTATTGCTAGGTAAGATAATCTGATTGATGAATCACTTCGTCAATCTCCCCCCCCCCCCCCAAAAAAAAAAAATTGATATCTTACATTGAAGAGTTGTTGTAGAAATTCTAGTGAACGTGGTATATTTTCAAGGTTTCACATCGGCTTCCATGATTTTGTGCAGAATTTACCAGCTTTAGTGATTGCTTTACAATCATTGACAATGGTGGTCGAGTTTATGCTATGAGACATGGAAGACGAGTGCCAAAGCTCAACCGACCTCCTGATCAGCGCCGGGCACTAATTCGGGGTCTCACAACTCAGCTGCTTAAATATGGCCGCATCAAGACCACCAGAGCAAGAGCCAGCGCAATTAGGAAGTATGTTGATAAGATGATCACATTAGCAAAGGACGGTTCTCTTCATAAGAGGAGACAAGCCCTTGGCTTTATCTATGAGAAACAGATTGTTCATGCTCTGTTTGCAGAGGTTCAGGACCGATATGGCGAAAGAAATGGAGGCTACACAAGAATCATCAGAACCCTACCAAGGCGAGGTGATAATGCGCCTATGGCTTACATTGAACTTGTGTAGCCTCTGCTTTGACAATGGATTCTTCAGAAAATTTTTGTAATGTTTAAATATTTTGTATCTTGCTGCCTAAGTTTGTATTTTTCTTGTATCTGTGCCAGAACAATCGATCTGTCTTACTACTGATTCTTTGCATATTGAAATCTTCATTCAAAGGAGTGGACAGAAGATTATTTTTTGGTTGGGGAAATAAAGGCTAATGTAACACAAAATACGCTCTATATATCTAACTCAATTTCTCACACTTTGGGGGAGGATGCATCAAAATACTACATTGACAATCAATAACATGAGCAGCTGCGATTTAGTTGGCGCATTCTTAAGCAAAGCAAATAAACATCTAATATGAAATGACGGGCCATGGCATTCAGCTAATCAGCTTATAGGTGAAGTTTCAGGCAAGACCAAGGGATGGTGACTTAAAAATGCCCCATAAAGTTCAAAAGGTTTAAACTGTTTAACCTTCACTAATAGATAATCTGTAAGTCAATTAAGATATTTTGTTTAAAGAAAACATGAAGCTTGTATTGATTCTTAAAAATCTTAGGTTTGATTCATCTAAATTTTTTCGTTGTTCAAAAATTAAGCATTTCACTTTGTACATCTCCTATGGCAATATTGATTTGTAAGTGTTGCAAAAATTTCATGAATATGGTTCTACATGGGGAATGTATAAACTAGCTACCTCTAATTTCGCATGTTTTCACAACAAATCCTATTTCAATCAGAAAGAAGCCATTTTCCATGTTTGATGTATCCCTTAAATCAAAGGGAAATTACAATCAAGTCCCACAAAGAAATAATTATCAAAAGGTTCCATTAACAATTTCAACAGTTTATAATGACAAGTCCTATGGTGAGAATGATAACCTCTTAAATTTGTTTTTCAATTGTTTTCCTTGCTTGGAATCTCATTGTAATTCTCCCTTAAATCAATCATCTACAAATGAAATAATTTGCATTATTAAACTATTGTTGACCATTTTAAGTTGGATAAACTGAAAAGGTAATTTCATTGAAAGGTATTTTGCTTATGCATAAACTCTGTCGCATCGAAAATGACACTAACAGACTCAATAAAATTGTACCAATCGTAAGGCGACATTTTTCATATGGTTTAATTTGTAATTTTTTAAAATACTTTTAAAAGAGAGATTTGATCATTGAACAGTTGTCAAATTTTACGTTTCACTTACATTGAACCTTGTCAGCAATAGGCTTACTCCGTATCTGGTATTTTTCGATATAGAATCAACTTTTGCTAATCCTTGAATTATATAAACAGCTATTAGGTCTCTAGGATAAAATGCACTAGGGATTTCTCAAAATATCGGCCGGTGAAGATATCACAAATCTTCGAGAGATCCAAGCACTCAAAATATAGCTAGATTCGTCTCCAATCTTAAGCGAATTTGGTAAATTTCTCACTTTTATCTGCATGTGAAGTTGCATGAATTTTGCATCTTAGAATTGATATATTTTTTTTTCATCAATTGATTTTAATATTATCTAAATCTTGGTATGAGTTTAGATCTGTCTTCGATCTTCTTAGATTTTTTTGCTTTGCTTATAATTTCATAAATTTTGGGGTGTTCAATTTGTTTGACTTCCAGTAAAATCCTCTTCTCCAAGAGTCAAATTCATTTCCTCATCTATTTTTTTTAAAAAAATTTTGATGTATAGATCTCTTCATTCTCTCCAAATCCATTTCCCCTAAAGTAGTAGATTTCCTTCCTCCTCGGAAACATCGATTGTCTTCTGACAATACCTTTGTTTAAATTTGATACTTTAAATTATATTTGAATTAGTTTTTTTTCCTCTCTTCATTTCGAATCTCTCGTCTCATTTTCTCTATCTCATTTTTTTTTTTAATTTTTGGCGAACTTTCATAAATGATGTAGGATTTTTTTATTGGGCATTGAATAATCTAATTTTCTCTCTGAACCATCTCTGTTCCCTTTCTTTTTATTTTTTTAAATTCTTGTAATTATATTGTGAGTTTGAATTATCTCCATTGAAATTTAAAAAATACTTTATTTTAAATATTATTATGGTCAAAACAATATGATTTTTTCTTTTATTAAATATAAAAATATTTGTAATTGATCTGACTATTTAGATCAACCCAATTATGAAATTTTATTTAAAAATACCATCAATTTTTCAATCAAACCAAAATCTATCCTTTTTTCCATAATTTATTTTCCCTTGTCGAATTTCTCTTCATTGTTGTATTTCTTTGAGCATTCAGAATATCTGATTCTTTCTCTTTATTAAGTGTTCACTGCATTATCTTATTCAATTTATCATATGAAATTAAAGGTAGAAGGAACATTATGTAATCATTATTATTGATTGAAAGAAAAATTCAACTGTTTTGATTAATATTCATATGTATCGGTTGGCAAAAAAAAAAAGATTGATATGTTCCGATGATCAATTAATTCTCATTGCTTAAACAGCAGCAAAGGTTTCAAGGAGTCGTTTTCTATTGGAGATACAAGTCAATTTAATGTAGACTAACATATTCATTGGTGTAAATATAAAACTTAAGGAGGGAAAAAAAAAGCCTACGGTCCTTTTGAATTTTGGCCTGCCAACATTGAAAAATTAAAGTTGCACTTTGACCTATTCATTGTTATTATTATTACTCCTCCCGTCCTATTGATATAGCAGAGAAAGGAAAAAAATGTTGATCCTATTTTCAGAGCAAAAAGAGAGAAATTTTTTATATGATTATACAATTTTATCCTTTATTTATTATTATATTGATTTTGTTTTCATAGGATATAATGTATATGAGATAGGGATAAAAATAAAAAGTTATTAAATTTTAAATAAAAGTTAATAGAGTTTAAGGTTTTTTCTAATCTGTGTGAAACATATTAAAAATATCTTATAAATAGGACCAGCGAAATAACTGCATTTTTTAGTTGTTAGTACTAGACATTTTTTTTGAGACTGTATGTGTGACCTTAATTTGTACTTCTACAAATCTCAACCATTTGAGCCATACATTTTTGAAAACATAACACTTTTATTACAACGTGAAAATTTTCTGTGCTTATGCATGTTTCTCACTTTTATGCAATATTTCACCATGTAATCAATTAAAACCTTGTGAAGTTTATTCTTTTATGTATATTTTTACGATTAAAGAAATGAAAACTTGTATGATCATATAGCACATAATATGAAATGCATATAGCAGAAAATGAGTGAAGAGGATATGGAACAAGTACCAAGGAGAAGAAGTGCAAGAATTATTGCATTGGAAGAGAAGAAAGAACGAGAAAAGAAGGCACTAGAGGAAGCTAGAAAGAACAAAGGAAAAACTGTTATTGTTGAAGAAGATCATGACCTCTTAGATATTGATTACGACGACGACGAAGATGATGATGACTATGCTCCAATTAAGAAGAGGGGACGCAAGAGTAGACCACTTAATCAACTCATCTCTTTGACTCAGGTCTCTCTTCATTCCTTCATTTCTGTCTAACAATTTGTTGAGTGATTTTTAGATGATATATATGATCAAGTTAATTATATATGTGAGTTTCGATACATACACAGAAATTTAAGCTTGTTGGAATCTCTTATATTCGTTCTCTTTATATGTTTTTAGCCCATTCATGAAGGACAATATTGCACCGAGTATTCAAGATATGGTAAGCTTATTAGTTATATTTCTCAAACTTTCCAGTGTTGATTTCTTTTCCCTTGCTTAAGCTTAACCATTATATGTTTGAACTTTGTTCTTCGTAGGGTTACCCAGAGTACCACCTAAGGACACACTTGAACTTGTGCTGGACCTCCTACAAAGGTGAAAACTACTAAATATATATCTCTGTCTTATTAATACTATTTAAGTAATCCATCTTAGAGTTTAAGGGACTAATTCACTTAATACTCTCATGAATGATCATAAAATTTTGGTATAAACTGTAAATTGCAGAAAGGACCCAGACGAGTTTTTCGCTCAACCTGTGAATCCTGCAGATCAAGTGAGTTTATCTCACCTTTTCAAAATCTGATTCAACTGTGTTTCTTGTTATTATATATATTGAGGTTTCTTATGGTGTTATATCGAATTAACATTTAATTTAACTTTGAAACATTCACGGTTAATCAACACTATAAAATTATCTTCCAATAACAAATTTTTTTGTGAGATATATGCGTGAGAGTACATATTATAGGTTTGCTTTGAAAAGTTGCAGGATTATCATAATATTGTGAAGGAGCCTATGGACTTCGGCACTATGAGAGCCAAATTACATGAGAATATGTATGCTAATATGGATCAGTTTAAGGTTTGCACATCATTGCATTTTCACATCTCATGCCATCTTTCTTTTTCAAATGAAAAAAAAAATGTTCTTTTATTATGAATGTTTAGGAGAAACATGAATATCTTTGAAAAGCCAAAGAGTATATCGCAATTTCTTATGAGAGTTTGAATTTATATTGCTCACGACAATGCTGAACACCGTGTACTTAATGTTCCTTCACATCATAAGGTGAGATTTTAGACATTAATTAATCTCATTATCAATGACATCACACGCACTGTTAGCTTTTGATCACATGAGTGACTAGGATCACGCCTCATAATGCAAAATGGCATTTCGTAGCTACGGTGTTATATCTTATATGTTACTTCATAATAACATTGTTTCAATTGAGTCCGTATTGTAATGAAATATCCTATAAATGAACACAAATTTTCAACCTTTTTTAACAAAATTAAAAAAAAAACCATATCATCAATGCATGCAAATCTTTTCTCTGGTTCCAAATTTGAAAGGTATTGCCTTTTGACTATAGCTTTTCATGATATAAACTGTCTATACGGACATTTCTCATGTGATATGGGGAACAGAAAAATCTAAATTCTAAAAGGTGATAGCTAAGGAGTGTTTGTAAAAATAGGAGGGGATTTAGCATATGCTGTGTGTGTGCTTGTGTCATTATTCAAATTTAAAATTTTTTTTTGCCCTCAATCCCTTTTGCCGTACATGAATAACATAATAGCTAGAAAACACTTGCTTCAACCATATGAACTAGCCTTTTCCCTCTGATTTTTAAGAATGAGCGTTAGGGTTTTTTTTTGGGGGGGGGGGGTGGTTGTGCGTGTGCGTGTGCGTGTGCGTGTGTGTGTGTGAGAGAGAGAAAGAGAGAGAGAGATCAAATAATTGTGAAACA